AAGACCAGTATCTGTTTAACCGCAGTTAATGTCGCTGACCGGCCGATGTAATGCCTAAGTAACTACAATAAATTTCTGATATTTCTCTGTATGGCCTTTTACATGCACATCTGTGTATGGTTTACCCTCAATCATGATATCATGTCACCTTCAATATGTTGTTGTTGTTATTCAGGCAAAGCCAATAGCAATAATGCCTGGAACAGGAATGGCCTTAGAAGTTAACGTTAGAGGTCTTGATAAAGTAAGTGGATATAAAGAAGAACTTTGCCTTGTTAAATTTTATCAGTTTTAAGCTTTAAAAATTTTATTCAAAACTGGCCTAAATGCTTTGGAGTAGAATTTCCCTCCTGGCTACGTCAACGTGTACCGTCTATTTACCTCAGCTGAGTCGATTATGTTGGGACTGCTTTTTCACGTTCTTCATTCTTTTATCAAAGCGGCAAGGTTTCATAACATTAGAGAGCGTAAGGAAAACTGCACCGTACATTTGCTAATTAATCTCAAGAAGACTGAAAACATCTTTTGTTTTTTAATACCAGTATTTTTTTACTGATGGAAGCTGTTTTGATTTCTAGCCTTATATTTTCGGTGGAATCATTGGAAGAGATGATGTATTTGAAAGTATAAGAGCCACAGGAAGGACAGGAAATTTTCCCTGGGTGTAAATGGCGCCATCAACACTTTGACATGGAATCGAGAATAGATATGGCCCAGACTCTTGCATGCGGCAGGTTCTTCTTCATTTTCAAAAATTAGTGGGGAAAAATCTATCAATGGAGAAATACGAATATATATACAGTGTTAAAAGGAAATACTAAGTTATACATGGTGACGATGATAAGATGAGCTTACAACAACTGATGCAAATATTGGGAAATATGTAGGTATCATTTAGCCATCAGAAGCACATGGCTTTGTATAAACTAAGGGAAAACTTTTTATCCACAAGTCTTTCTGAAAAGTAACATTGCTAACTATTTTGGTATCAGCGATCGAATCTTCTCTGTCATGAAGAAGTGTTATTGAATTATTGCATACCAAAATATGTACAATGGAAAATAAATTATGGTTAAATTTTTCTTGGTTCTAGCAAAAGAATGCTCAGTTTTGTAATGTATCGATATCTCTGTTTTTAGCTATAATTTTATAACGATTAAGATATTTTCTGAGTTCTTAGAGGGTTTACTAGACTATTACTGCGTACAATGATTAAATAGATGGTCAGTTTATATAACCGGAAGAACTGAGTATATTTCCAAAAGTTATTCAATAAAGCTAAGAATTTTGGGCTACGACTGCTTATATTTTATTACTTAATTGAGTAAATTTCAGCTTTTTCTTCCAGAAACCCCTAATATTTGGGCTGGTGGCGGTGTTCTCCATAACAAGTCCTTTACTGGCTCAGGATGTCATCTCGGAATATTCATATTTGTAAATTTTCTTTTTTTTTTCTAATGCACCCTGGCTGACACGCCATATTCATCCCGCAAGGTATCCCGCAAAAGGGTTCTTCAGTTAACAACCGACAGGTGAGGGTCACTTGTCAGTGGCACGAGCGCTACCATACCATCAGTTCCCTTTTTTCTCCTTTTCCTTTTTTATTTATCTGTGCTTTCTGTTCACTGTCCTTGGTGCAGCTCTAAAGAAAAGAAGACGCTTGATGTCATACGTACCCACTTGAGACTTGTTCGTTAATTCGAGTCCCATGCGTCCCTACACCCGATAGTCATATTAAGATGATGTATATTCGTTCAAATGGAACTCAATAATTGTGAAAGAACGTACTATAAGTACACTCCATAGTCCAGGTTAGAGTCCGTGGTTCTAGTCATGATGTTCAAAGTTATAGCACATGCTTTCCACGGCTTCCAAAAATGACCAATCATCTTGCGCCTCACAATCATCTCTTTTATCTCCCCTCCCTGAGGACAGTACGCCATTGAATTGATCACCCGCCAATACGTCAAACCGGTGGAAATACTACATCAATTCATCGCAGGATTTCCTTCCAGGGATTTGAATATGTGGACTGTGAAAGCACTTAGAATAAATAGCCATGGAATATTGTCACGTAATTTGTTACCTTTGCAACGAAAATCTCTGTCAACTGGCAATGGAGAGCGAGTTATGGCGATTAGAAGAGAAGACATAAATGTATGGGAGAGACGAGCACCCATAGCACCTTCGCATGTCGCAGAACTTGCACATAAAGGAATCAAGGTTCTTGTACAGCCTTCGACAAGACGAGCATACACGATGGATGAATACGAGCGAGCAGGAGCAGTCATAACAGAAGATTTAAGTCCTGCCTCGCTGATTATCGGCGTGAAAGCTGTCCCCATTGATCTGTTAATTCCAGACAAGACTTATGCTTTCTTCTCTCATACGATCAAGGCCCAAGAGGCGAATATGCCACTACTCGATGCAATGCTTGAAAAGGTAAGAATATTTTCGTTTTCTAAGCTGTAATTGAAGTCTTATAGGGATTTATCACAGTTTTGATGAAATCTAATTGAGTTTGATTCGAACATGGCTCGACCAAGCGTAACTTTCGATCGCCTACGTTTGTAACCCACGGATCAAATTAAACGTGATTTTAATGGAACTGTACACACACAGTCATCGCAAAATCAATTTGAGAAATTTGCTTTTCAAATTTGTAAATTATTTGTCTTCTTAGATCCATCAATTGTTTTACCACCTTTGAAAGAGAGTCGTTTGTTGCTCTTCGCTTTCGCGCCACGTGTATAATGATTTTCACACCTCGCAGTTTTGTTGCATTTTTGTATGAAAATTTTCTCGATTGTCTGGATTAATCCCTTCTTTCTGGCAGAACATCCGAATAGTTGATTACGAAAAAATGGTGGATAGCAAAGGACAAAGAGTGTGTGCTTTTGGCAAGTTCGCCGGTGTCGGAGGTTTGTGTTTTGGTTGCCGACATAGTAAACGAACATGGGGGTGTGTTCGGGGGCTTGGTCATATTTCAAGGTGGCTACAGTAAGGCAGTGTGGACAATCAGTATCAAGTTGTTAAGTTTGGGGGATTCATCATCTTGGATTATTCTAGATGTGTTACAATGTTATAGATGAAGCTGATTTTTTGTCAAAAATGTGTTGACACTGAAGTCAATTCTATTGTTCACTTACTAGTTTCTTGTGGGTTAAACTCTTAGAAGGTAAATCTCCAATGTCTTATAGGGCTGAAGCAAGGAAGGGTACTTTTGATTCTGTGTGATGTAAACTTGACTGGCAAAAAGGAATTTGCTCATCAGATACATGGGTTTACTGAGATGCTTTAGCAGAAAGCACAGTATGAGCATTTAATAAAACAGCTCTTTATTTTTTCTACCCATAGGTATGATAAATATTCTTCATGGTCTTGGGTTGAGGCTTCTTGCCCTTGGACATCACACACCTTTCATGGTAAGTAACATATTATTGGATTTACAATATTAGGCTTAAATTGTTTTACATAATTATGATGCTCTCTCTCTCTTAATTATAGTCTGTATAACATTGTAAATTCTACCACAATTTGTACTTGCATGGTGCTCAAATGTGTGTCATGCAAGTGATGTCAAAGGCAGTCAAGTGGGACTTCAACCAACCTTCTGTTACAGTAACCAAGTTGTAGCTTTTAAAATGTAAAGAAAAGGAAAAAATTTTAAAAAAACTTTAAGACAAAAAGAAGAGTCATAGATTCACTCTTTAATCTCACGTCTAAGTGAAGGAAATGACATGGACATAAGAAACTATCATTGGTGAGATAAGCTCTTCAAATGATTATAATATAGTTGTTGTGACTGATGTTGAGAAAACTCTAGGGCAAGTCTTCAGCAAAGAGGCAGCATCACACCATAATATGCATATATATGGTCTCAAGACATTAGCTAATTAACACCCTACAACTTCAAATTGATGATATCAAAATTTCATCTAATTTTTTTCTCAGTATTTAGGGGCAACTCATAACTACAAGAACAGCAGGGCAGCAAAACTTGCCATTTATGAACTTGGTGAGGACATAAAAGCTGGTAAATTACCAGCTCACTTTGGACCTTTGTCATTTGTGTTTACTGGCTCAGGAAATGTGTCTCAGGTATTCTGAACAAACTATATACTATTTTAAATCAAAAACATATTTCAAATATATTTTTTAAATCTGATTGAGTTTGATTTTGATTAATGAACAAATAAACAAATGAAAGGACTCAACTCATCAAGAGGCACATCTCTCCAATAAAAAAATCCACCACTTTTAAAGTTGCAATTCTTCATCTGGGTTTTATAGAATTGAAAAATCTCAAAGTTTTACAATATCTTTGATTTGATATTCTGAGGTACTTTACCATTTACTTGAATTCGCCATTTAGTAACAATGCATACATTTAAGAATTTGTTCCTTCCATGTAACTAGATCACCCTTTCCCCCACCCTCAAAGTTTTAGTTTTGCCTGAACTATACTGTGGGACTCATTCACCCTTCCTACAATTTATTCTTTATTTGTTGATTATCCACAGGGTGCTCAAGAAATGTTTCAGGAACTTCCACATATTTATGTTGAGCCACATGAGCTGAGAAAAGCTATACAAAGCACAGGTGAGGTTACGGCATTTTGGTGCAATAGAAGTTGAGTAGGGAACCTTGGGGTTATTATAAGAGCTTATGTTTACCCCTCTAAGAATAAGCCACACCATCCCGTTTGTGTGGTTGAAAAAAGCAAAAAAGACCACCAATGTAATGCATACACTCTGATGTGGAATAGAAAATTAATTTGAACAGTCTCCTGGCTGCTACTAAACATATTCCGATGTAATAGTGTTTTAATGTGACCATTAATTGTATTTTACGCTAATTTCATGTAGCTGTTAGTAACAACTTAAATATTTTAGACCATTGACCCATTTTAACACCTTAACATCAGTTTGCATGTTCTCTAAACTTTTCACTATATGTTTTCCATGGTACTTACAAAGACAATTTGCCTAATCATTTTTTCAATATCACTCTTGAGGGTGAAAGGGTTTAGATATTTCAGTCTTTTAATATCAAATAATTCACACCTTGTTAATGTATATGCATGTAATGTTCATTGTGATCCACTACCAGACCACAGGAAGTTGATTGGAACAGTTGTAAGCCGTGAAGATTACCTTGTACCCAAGGCTGGTGGAGTGTTTGATGCAGAGGAATATGATGCTCATCCAGATAGATACAGATCAACATTTGCGGAAAAGGTTATTTGTTTAATATCTAGTTGTGACTTAAAATTGTTAGGAACAGAGAAGAACACAACAAACTCCCGTGTAAGGTCAACACTTTGCAGATGATTTTTCCAAAAACAAATGATCAATTTAAGTTGTATTTTTTAACTACAGTTTCAAAAGTACAGTTAACTTGACTGTATATGCTGAGAAATATGAGCCCAGTGCTATTGAAAAATAAACAAAAATAATACGTAGAGGTATTAATTCAAATACTAGGCTTTGGTCTTTACAGAAAGTAACAGTCTTGGGTCAGGGTATTGAACCTTCCTTTCAAAATTAGTGAATGATCAGCCGAGGTTGCATTTCTAAGAATGTCCCTCACCTGAGTGAAAAAATTATGGCACCTTGCAGCTGGTCAGCATCAGTACCATTCTTAACTTTTTTACAGGTTCATTCATTCTTTTCATATGTAGGTTGCTCCTTACATGTCTGTCCTGGTGAATGGAACCTACTGGGCCCCCAGTGTGCCACGCCTTCTGACCTACGATGATGCTAGAAATATTCTTAAGACAATGCAGAGGTCAAGTGCATATGATGGCTGTCCAAGTCTGCCACATAGATTGTTGGCAATCTGTGATATCTCGGCTGACAATGAAGTGAGCTTGTAAATTAATTTGGCAGGTTCTTAATATTATAATTTTGTTTTACTGTTTTCATGTCTTTTAATACACTGTTACCATTTTTCCAGGGTTCCTTGGAATTCATGACAGAATGTACAACAATTGAGTATCCATTCCACTTGTACAACATCAAGACAGGAAACTCACAGATTGGGTAAATGATTCAAATAAATATAAAGTATATAAATCATAAATGAACAATGACTTAAAATATGAGTAATTAATAAACAGATAAAATACTAACAGTTATTAACAAACACTGCATTTAATAGTATGTTTGAGGTAAAAGCTAATTTGTTCTTTGGCCAAAAAGTCTTGGGGCCAAATTGTCTTTTACCAGATTAACTAATTATGTGCAATTTCCTCTTATGCTGTATCTCTGTATAGAATGGCTGGAGATGGAGTTCTTATTTGCTCAATTGATAATCTTCCTGCTCAGTTGCCGAGAGAGGCCACTGATTATTTTGGTAAACTGCTGCTCCCATGGCTACAAGAAATGGTAACATACTTCTCTTTATTTTCTTTTCTGTCATACTTTTGCCCCATCAGTCAACTCAACAGAATTCCTTTTTAATGTATGAAAATAAAAAAGGGTTTTTTTGTTTTTCAGATTGATTCTAATGCTACTGACTCCTTTGAAGAGCAGCATCACTTGTCTGACACAGTTAGAAATGTGAGTGTTTTAGACTAAGTACCTTTTAGCTGCCCTAGTCAAATGCAATTGTAGGTTTGGTGGACTTATTCTATTTTGCAAAATGAAACAAATGAAACTAGGTGCGATATAACGAAACCAAAGGAATAATGCAGTTATATTTTATAATAAGGCAAAGATAACTTTCACAAGGATTTTTGAGTAATCGTCAATTGATAAGAGGGATTTTTATTTATCACATTACTATTTTGCTAAATTGACTATTATCACCTTATGGTGACAACATGACCTCTTTCATGTCACAGAAATACATTTAAACATCACAAATTAGTATATCACCAAAGAGTTTGGCCTCCTCTTATTTCTTACATGGTATTAAAATATATACTTCACAAAATAGTAATTTTAGGAGAGATACTATTTTGTTAAATGGACTGCTAGTCGATTTTGCAAAATACTAACTCTTCTTAAATTTATGCTTTGCAGAATGAAAATCCTTCTTGTTAATTAACAATTACTCCAAAATCCTTGTGAAAGTTATCTCTACCTTATTACAAAATATGTCTGCATTCTTCCTTCTATTAGTTTTGTTATATATTGCTTAGCTGGTTTTGTTTTTTTTTTGCTAAGTAGTATAAGCTGGACGGTGAGGTGAGGGAAGCTAAAACATGGGTAGATCACACTGCAGCTGTGGTTACTGGCAGCTTCCATGCTTGTGGACAAAAAGCTTGGATTTTCTTCATGCCAACTGAAGCCAGTGGCCACCAGTTTTTCACATTTTAATATTACTACAAAACCTAGCACTATGCTATTAAAATTCAATATCTGACATATTTTTAGGAAGAATTACATGCTATGAAATGTATGAGGAGACAAAAGCAGAGAATCGATGTTTGTTAGAAGTGAAATAATATCAGTAATCAATGCTGTTTAATAGCTAAGTATTAAAATTATCTTTTCCACTGGCATTCCCAGGCAATCATCACTTCTAATGGATTGCTAACAGAAAACTACAAATACATAGCAGGTTTAAGGAAAAGGTAAACCCTGAAATTCAATCTACTGCAGAGTGAAATTTTGGTTAACACACCTCAGATGCTTTGGGTATATACCACTAGCATTACGATAATAATTTACAGCTGTTGCTGTTAAGTAATTGATATTATTCCTGACCAGTTGAATATATTTGATCACTTAAAATGGAAACTTGAAATCAGACTAGAAATGGTGAGCTGTCCAGTACTTTGCCTATATTTTTTTATCTCCAAGGTAACAATATGGTAATGTTTGTTTATAAATGTTTCATTAATTCTATTCCTTTGGTAATTATAGAATTAACTAAAATGTTTTAACAACCATGCTGTATGACACTAAGGAATCTTCTTGACCAGTCTTACTGCATCATTTATCTCAGCCAAGAAGAAGCAAAAGCCAGAGCATTAGGACCAAATGTTTCTGTGCCAATCAAGCAGAGAGTATTGTTGCTTGGCTCTGGGTTCACTGTGGCTCCATGCATTGAATATCTTACGAGAGATAAAAGCCTTGCAGTCACAGTTGGTGAGTTCTTCTGTGATTGTCACAACACTGCACTGTAATAGTGATATTGCTTAGTGAAAAGTAATTTTTTTTCAGCCACTGTTTTATTTCCTATTGCTTATTCCAGATTTATATAACATCTATATACCAAACCCAAAAGATTTTTCAGTTGATGTTCTCCCTTACATGCACTTCCCTCTAGAAATTTCATTCAACAAACATTTAAATTTTCATTTTCACCCCTTATACTCTGTCTTTTCTAAACTTTTAAACTCATAATCAGTAGATGTAATCATTAGTTTTTTTTCTTGCTACCTATTTAAGTTTCCTTGGGTTCTTCAGGATGACAATAAAGATGACAATGAACAATTAGATTTAAAGATACTTATTTGATGGAAAGAGACAGGGTCAGGATATTGATCAATGTATAAACTAAGGGAGAAACTTATGAAAATCCTAAAATTATCTCACTGGCCAAAAGCTATGCATTTTATTTTATCACTCAAGCATTTAATTTAATTTTTTCCCTCACATACTTCTGATATATATGTTACAATCTTTAGCATCAGACAAAATAAGCGAAGCAGAAGCAGTAGCAGCTATGTACAGAAACACCACTCCAACACTCCTTGATGTCACACAATCAGAGGAAAAGTTAAACAAATTGATCCAGCAACATGATGTTGTGATCAGGTGAGGATATGGCTATGTTGAATTTCCATTGAATGAGGGGGGGGGAATTCTTTTATTAGCATCTCACAGGCATTTGCCAGGTCACCATTCATCACTTTTTTTTCACAAAGCAGAGAATTACTGGCACCCAAGGACCAACCCTATAAGTTCAATAAATTAATTTAGCTCTCTTAATAAATATCCATTCATTCCCAGGTATTGACCTGTAAAGGGGAATGTGACAGTAGTAATTAACCTTTACATGTCCAGTTTTGATAGAACTTGGCATCTCCTAACTATCCTTTCACACTGAATTTATTACTTTTTATTCAGATTTCACTTTCTTCATTTCTTTTTTCATTATAGAGTGCTTGAAATATTTTGACATGTACTTTAATTAATATGTGACTTTATCTTTAATATTTAACTAACTATATTGTATCCTTTTAATTTCAGTTTGCTTCCCTACTCTCTACATCATGTTGTAGCCAAGAGTTGCATCACACACAAAACGAATCTATTAACTGCCAGCTATGTACTGCCACCGATTGCAGAGCTACATCAAAGGTATTGGAGATATCTGTACACAAAATTTTATCAATTACTATAGGATCATAATATCTTTATAATTAGAAAGAACTTGCTTGCAGTTTGTTTAATTATTTTATATTTCATAACATCAGTCGGTGGATAAGAACTTTTTCTTTAAGATTGTTGGCTAAGGCTCGTGTTGCTCAAGCCTGCTTACTCTTACAGCATGTGTGCCAATTCATTTGGATCTAATGACATGGAAACATTTTTTTTTCGCGTTGAGAATTGCCTTATAAATGTATTACCAGATATCAAGTAGCGGTATTCACAAGCGGTGATCTGAGCATGCTCGTTCACACTCGTCTTCATAATTTATTCTCTTTTGTTGGCCTTTTTCAGCGCAGTAGATGCTGGTATAGCTATCGTGAACGAGTTGGGTCTGGACCCTGGTATCGATCACTTGTTAGCTATGGAATGCTTTGATGATTCTAAAGCTGAGGGAGCTGTGGTCAGTAATAAACCAAGCGAAAAATATCAATCCCATTACTTATCACTAGATTAGTTCTTTGATGTACACGTGTAAGAATCTTGACGAGTTCTGGAGATTGATGAATATCGCATGCTTGCCTTCTTGCCATTATGAAGGTAAAACGAGAGAAGCAGAGAAGCGAAAGGAGAATTGCTCCTCCCCAAGGTGGGATGCTAATCCATTGTGGGTTACCCCCTTCCCCCTTCGAGCATTTTTCAGGCTTCCTTGGTTGTCCGCTGTCATTCATTTGTACTCCTGTCTTCCCAAGAACGTAAAACAACGACCTAACCGACCTCACCCGACTTCTTGACCAGAATTCCAGTGTGTTAACCATTTGGCTATCGCATCTTCAACTATGGCAAGGTGTCGCCAATATTCTTTTCTGTAAGCAGAGCAAAAACATATTTAGTACGACGATTTCACGAACAACCCTTTGTCTTGTCCCATATACAGATCAAGTATTACCGCTCATTCTGTGGTGGCCTTCCAGCACCAGAACATGCTGACAATCCACTTAGATACAAGTTCAGGTAAATTATTACATTGTCTATCCAGAAATGCTTGATTAAGTTTTCACTTTTGCGATACATACTTTAGAATCAGCCTTTCCAACCAGGATTTGCACCCCTTGACCTTCCAATAACCGGTCGGAGCTATAAAGAATTTTTCCGAGATATTGAGGTTCGTATGTGTCCTGCGTCATGCATACAACATATGCCCGTACTGTCGTGTGTCTTGAAAGAGTAAGGAAGGTACCGTCAGATTCTTAGTTCGGCCGTCTAGTAAAGAACGGTGTAAAATTCATTTTTCCTGACAGTCGCATACAGTGCGTTTGTTGTTCGTAGATATTATCCTCCACCATTGGGAGAAAAAGTTTTGTTTACACGAGGTTTTACTCGACAAACGTTCTACCACAATGTGTGCAATTTGATGAGCCACGCTACTCGCTACTTTTTCCCTGATGGGTGGTGCGAAAAGTGACTAGGCTAACATTGTGCAATAGCTACCAAAATACGATAATAACATTAGCTTATCTTTTTATTAAATTTTAAACGACTGCGTGACAGCTGATTCGGGCTCTGCCCTCATCAGCTATCACTTAATAGAAATCTTGAGCTCACAATCTAACTGTTAACATTGCTTCTGATAGAACACAACTCATTTTGCGTCGTGAAAAAGTTCCTTGAAACAGATTCGGTCAACGATCTTTAAGAAGACATAAAACTCCTAGTAAAAATGTAGTAGAATGAAGTAGTTTTACAGGTAGTCTTACATTGGTGGTTGCAATTCTTTTAATTTAGTTGGAGTCCACGAGCTGGTCTGCTGAGTGTAATGAATAGTGCTAAATATCTGTGGTATGGAAAGGTAATACTGATTTTAATGTTTTCAATTTAATAACCTCTTATCCCGATCGGCAAGTTTGTGTCGTTACACCGCATTTAGGCAGGCAAGTTTCCTTGGAAAATGTATTCTAGAAGAGATTTTTTCGTTTGTTTTCCGATCGTTATAAGTTACTCGTTACAACGAACTTAGATTCGGGCAACGGTCGACAGAATCCGAAGGACAATGTAAAACGTAAGTACCTATGACGACAGTTGCGTCGAAGAGAGCAAAAGTTCATGGAGCAGGCGCTGGCTAGTCTGTGATCAGGCCCTCATAATTAGCGCTTCGGGACGAGCGTTTCTTTGCCCGCGGGAAAGTACGACGCCTTGAACAACGTGAGTCGACATTGTTAGTACCAGACCCCCGCAAACCTCTCCCTGACTCGTGTTAATCTTCCCGTGGGTGGAGAAACGCGCGTCTGGTAGAGCTAACACTAATTAATTATTGAATGAATAAATAATGACAGATTGCATTGCAATAACTTTTTCGAAGTAATGACGATTAAAAGTCGCAGTGCTGGAAGAATTTGTTTTCCTCTTATATGCTTTGTTGTTTTATTTGTGTTTAAGTGTGTTGAAGTTCAAGCAGGAGGGGCTCTTATAGAGGAAATAAAACCAACAGACATATTTCCTGGCTACAGACTGGAGTGTTATCCTAACAGAGACTCAACTAAATATGGAAAACTGTATGACATTACCACAGCCAACACAATACTCAGAGGAACACTGCGCTATGAGGTACAGAATAATGCTGGTGTAGTATGACGATAGTTTAAGGGCGAACGCTAATTGGTCAATGGGTGTAGACAGATTTTAAGTTCGGCATATTTTATTGATATTCGCTGGTTTGATTGTCTCAGTCGTCGTAGGCAGCTGAGATATTTCAAGTAAGCGATATACTGATTTGTCACGAATGATACGAGCCTTCGTTTTGTTAGCTTTGCCCGACAGACGGAGCCCTTGCTGGTTGAAACAGCTGTGTATGCCTGCTAACTTGGAGGCTCGCTTTTTCGTCATTTCTATTCTTTTTGAGAGGATTGTCGGAAGGAATAGGAGTTTTGTTGGAGGATTTTTGAAGGCCCAGTTTCACTACCAGTGTCGCCTCGGAGCGCATTGTGTGAGCGTAAATACCACTTTTTAACTTTATCATCATTTTGTCGTCACAACTATACCACACAAGTGTAAAGTAGTGTTATGATGGGTGTGGTATGTTTCGAATATGTTGAAGCCAAATTGCAGAATTTCCATCTAAGTGATAACTTGACAGAGGAGACGCGAGGTTAAACGTTTTTTGTATGGCTTCTGTTCTCAGACAAATGCAAATCGAATTTAACAACACTTCCCTGAGATGATTTCTGCGATCTGCTCTTGTTTCATAGGGATATTCCACCGCTTGTTTAGCTTTGTATCAGCTTGGAATGTACAGTACGATAGAGCGGACAGACCTTGCTCTGGCTCATGAACTACCCTGGGTAAGAAATTAGATTTTGTTTGGATATTTTACCCCTAGCTTTCACATGTCAGTTTAATAGTTTGCAATAAATTGAGGTTAATGTTTTGAGGACAAATATTTACCCAAAAGACTGGCCTTAGTGTCTAAGTAGTTAAAAAAAAGACAGACGTCTTGTGGCAATTTCCTCGCCTCGTTTTTATTGTACCTGCTTCGTAACACTTGGAATGTTTATCGACGTATTCACTTTCATAGTCTTAATTTGTTCCAGTCATCTATTAATAAATGAGAATCGTATGCTACTGTAGATGATCAGTGGGACAATGACCCTGACCTCGACATTCTGTAAGTGAAGACAGACCCCGACAAAGTGGCACACTTCGTCTTTTAGATACCAGTTGGGCGCCACCTTTGTTGAACTACGAAGCCTCAGGTTGGAAGCGAGGCAAACATAGTAGCCTTAATAGATTCCTTTTTGAAGTGTATATAATAACCTACTCCTGACTATTCGTGTGGTTTGTTACATCTACAGAAACAAGTCCTGGCCAAACTTGTGGGTAAACCAGACGCAAGTGACTCTGAGCTTTATTCTGTTGTCTTCGAAAAAGTTGGCAAGGATCCTGCTCGTATGCAGGCGATCAAAGAGTAAGTGCACATTCGCCCTTCTATTTCGTCTGCGGGAGTCTGAGGATAATCTGGTTTTTCGTGGCGTGGAAATTTTCTCTGTTATTTCACATTGCGCTTGGATAGCCAACCTTTCTTTCAATCTTCGTAATAAAAGGCGAAGCAGAGCCATTTAAATTCGCAAATTTGATAGGCAAATGACACCTTCATACAGAGACCACGCAGATAGGCAATAAGTACAAAGTTAATCATTCATTGAGTTAGATTGTCTTCACTAGTTAATTAGTTCATAGGTTAGATAGAAAATATATATATGAAATTCTCCCAAATTGCTTCCCTTTTTTCGTAATTGAGAATATGATGTTATCCTTGCATTATCTTAACATATCAAATTTGTATTAATCGTTTGATGTTGGTGCTGTTGCTATAGTCTTGGTCTTCTGTCTGAGGAACCTATTCTTCAACAAAAGTCACCATTGGACACCCTCTGTTTGTACTTAACAGATAAACTGGCTTATAGTGAGTTTTCCCAGTTTACTATTTTCTCATCCAGTTTATGATTTATGATTCGTTTCGTTACTAAGTGAAATCAAGATTTATATTTAAAAAAGAAAAACGAATCTTTTTTACAGAAGAGGGAGAGAGAGACATGGTGTTACTTCAACATGACATAGGTGTGGAACTGCCGGATAAAACACAGGTATGGCAATGACTTCTAGATTTACCACGTCGTCTTTATTTTGGTTCCTTGTAAAAGTAGTTAAAAATAATTGGAGGGAGTGAGACGGCAATCCTGAGAGCAAGATGGGACACAGGTTCTTCTACGTCTTGTCTGCGTGTGCAGCCAGTCATAGAGCAGAAGTGTTTTTTTTAACTCCAAACTTATTCTGATCATGCGTTTGATTATGACCGATCATCAATGGATCTTCTCATCATCGACAGCAAAACCGTCGAATTGACATGATTTGTTATGGTGATCCGAATGGTCACTCAGCCATGGCGCGAACTGTTGGGCTTCCTGTGGCGATCGCTACAAAGATGGTGTTGGACGGTGAGTGACTTAATTTTCCCAGTGGCAGCAGAGAGCTCTAGGAGTGAATAAAAGAATGAGTAAATATAAACTTATAAAACTGACAATTAACATACAGAAGTGCCATTAGCCACGCGAGTACTTTAAGAGCTACTCAGGTCAGTAAATCAAATATAAATTATAAAAGCAATAAATATGATCCAAAACCCTCAAATTCTAGGGGGCAAATCAGTTGGATATTTGCAGGCTCGGTAGAGAAGTTGAACTTGGGACCTGTGAGAACAAATCCAGTTTGAAGCCTTCCCTCCCCTTCTACATACCCATTCACTACCTTCAAATGACCACCCTTTTGCCGTTGGAAGTAAGAGTTGAGGCGTAACTGAACTATCCTACTCTTAACGATTTTACTCTGTACAAAAATGATTCTTAAATCATTTTTCGTAAATTTTCTTAGATTTGTGATATCTTTCTGTGTTTCCTTTCAGGGGACTTAAAAGCCACTGGCGTTGTTCTTCCCCTCAGCCGGGAAATTTACAAACCACTACTTAAACGACTCAAAGCAGAGGGAATTCATAGCGAAATGACCACAACAGTATTGTAAGATGATATTTTATCACCAGACATCTTAATTGATTTGTTTATCGGCCTCGGTAAAGCCTGGGTTCTCAAACATTTTTTTTGTCTTGATTTTGTTACGAGCTTTCAGTTTTTGTTGTATTATTGCACATAATACAAGGTGTTGGGTCTTCTAACCCTATATGGTGGATCTACGCATTTATTTCAGAATTTTTTTCTTCGTAAGATAAATAAATACTCGACAAACTTCGGACGGAAATTTTCGCCCGAGGAGATTCTATTTCAAGGAGAGTAAATTCTTTGGGACTGAATTTTTGCTGAAAATGCTGGATATTTATGTTACGAGGTCTAATAGTACACTGTGTATGGCAAACTTAAATTGTGCAATATACATATCATTAGAGTGGAGACTTAAATTGCTCGGCGAAGGAAAGTTACTTGAAGCCAATCATTTTCTGAAAGTAAATGGGGAAAATGGTTTATGTTATTTACAAGCATTTCTTTTTTTGAAAATGCCATTCTTAGGAATTTTTGTTTATTTTAAGGACGTTAAATTATTCATTACCCATATTTATTCTGTTGAAGTGCAATTGCATCTTATATATTTCTGGTGTATTTTATTTACTGATACTTTCTGGCGTGTAGTTTTTAAACCTTTTTGAGCATAAAATGTTGACAAAGGACTTGTAAATGTATTTTCTAAACCTAAGAGAAGTAGTTAGATAAAAACTTAACACATGTTGAACTGAGTGAGTTACTCTAAAGTTGTGAAAACTTTTCTACGACAAAAACAATACAAGTTGATGCAGAAGAGAAGAATATTAGTGCAGTGTTTAAAATTCCTACTTTTATTACATGAAAATTTAAAAATTTACATTTTAGATGTATTCTGAAACACACGTCTTAAAAGTAATATAAGTGCTGTACTCATCTAACTGAAATATTTGTATTGTGTTGCCTCTGAACACCCACGTGTGCAGGACACAATGAATTTGGTGTAATCAAAATAAAATAAAATTTGATAATTATGTGTATATTTATTAACGAAAGGAAAACACATTAATTAGAGAGACTGTAGCTCATAAATCACTCTACTCCTAGGAAAACCCCTTGGAAATTCTAAGAGAGGTCACATTCCCGGAATATCTCTTTTACAGGTCTCATTCTCTGAGGAGGTTCGCAAGGGGATGTCCCATATATGTTTCATGCCTTACGGAATTCCTCTAAAATTTTGTTTAGATCCCTTTACTGCTCAGAGATCCTAGGATGAGGCGTGAGTTTTTGCCCACGTGCGAAGGTTTTAGTGAGCTCTCTGTTATCGAAGCGTCTCGATGGGTTTAACCGTCAGCCGTCGAACGTCCTAAACTTCAACCGTCAACCGTTTTTTGACTGTCAACTGTCAGAAAGAAGCTTAGTATTCACCCTCAAACGGTTTCGAGATCTCTTAGAAGTAATTATTTTAGCTGCTCACGAACACCTCTGATCGTGAACAAACTTCAGACTGGTAAGCCAGTCACCAGTTTTCTGATTGCACAGATCAAGGAGGGCATTGCTGTTTAGTAACTTGGTAGTAAACTGACATACTGATAAATTCGCCCTCAAATGTGGTGGAGTTGTTTATTGGCAAAGTTGTAGACGACTGTCTTTATACAAAACACGTGCAAAAGTTTCGATTGTAGCGGAGCGCATTGACGGAGGAAGACGGACAGAAAAGGGAGAAGAGAAAAAGAAAAAGAAACTGGAAGGAGTGACATTAAGATTTTGCTCCTGATGATATTTGCTCCGACCGTATTGGAACGAGACATTTCCATGTACAGACCTCAGTGAGGCCAGCGGTGTCGGAAGACCTTTTATGATACAATCTAGAGACCAGCCGTGTAAAGAACCCTCGCCAGGTTTTGTTTGATGAACAAAAGTCACTCAAAGGAAAGCCGTTTATTATTATTGAACACGATTGGCTAGTCGGGCAGTGTCGACCTGTCAATGACCTGTCAGTCAAGTGGAGTCTTTGGTCAGTCTCACTAAGATGTGACTTACACCCGTTGACTTGGGTTTGACCTGACTAGGTTTCCATTTATTTAGCAAAGGATATTTTTCGAAAATGAGCATCATCTGAATAAGTTTGACAATTGGAGATAGTCGTAGGTTAGTGTATGTCAGAAAAACTGAACATATTTGCTTTTCATTGGCTCGTGTCTTTCTACTTGTCTTGATTTGTTTCAAGTCTTTTCTCAGGAAAAGCTGAGTTTTGGTGCTTTCAATGATAATTTTGACCGTAAAAGGTTAAAAATAGATTGTTTAGGATTCTTGAAATATCGTTGTCCAGATTTCTCTATTTTGAGTGAGCATTATAACAGAATAAAAGAAAATAAATTGGTATGTAATCGTTTTATTCCACGTTATGTTTACCCCTTTTCGTAAACTGCGGTTAACCTGTTGTTTATAAGGTTAAAGCCTCTCTTCGTAATCCTATCATTAACGTCTGCCTCCACATTGATATACTGTAGGAAATATTGACACAAGCGAGTGAAATACAGGCACCTCTAGCATTACATTTTTGCAACTCCTATTTATCAATTGTGCGTTAATTACGTTTCTTCATTAGCAATTGCTCCGCGATACAAGCCTAAAACATTCTGCCACATGTATGGAGATAAGGAGATCCAAACCGTGGAATCGCTTATCGTTGCTGTGTCCCAGATACATTAAGGTCTGCCTCTCTGATTGACCACAATCGTTTGCATCCACATTTCATTCTTGAAGATTTTAAAAAAGAAAAAAAACCACACACACACAGTCACACTGAACAAATTAGTTAACATTTCTTAGTTTTTGTTTGCTGAGAAGAGATCTAGGGCGTATCAGCTATGGCAAGTGTCAACGCTTTTGTCTCATTTAACAGCTCAGATGTAAGTAAAACGGTTTGAGTCCTGATGAAGACGAAAAATAATATTAGTTGCTAGATTATCATAATACATCACTTTGCACCGTGTTCACCTGCACACTTCAGATCCATTTTATGAAAAGTGACCTCGGGAAAACTGATTTAAAACAGCGTTTGCTTTTGATAACCAGTCATGACATACAAGTTTGTAACCTATCCATGCTGAGTTAAATCTGTTTTGCTGCTTCCACTAAACACCTCTGGATCTTGCTGTCTGTTTTTTTTTTTGTTCTCTGCTCTAGAGTCTGCTTTTCCTTGAGGTATCGTATGATTTCACTTCAACCAAGGTATAGTGCTTATACGCAAATAAAAAGCATCAAACATGCTTTAGCTTAAGGATCTTAAGGAGCCTTAGTTCAAGGATTTGTATGATAACGTAGTAAGTTTAAGTTGCCAACTAGACAAACCTTTTCAATGTTTTTGAGTATTTCCTTTTTTCTCTTTTTGAATAATGATAATATTTCCTCTGCTTGTATCAAATGAGTCGAATGATGACGAGCTTTAAATCAATTTGTATGAGCCGGTAACCATCAAGATTTTGGCTCCGTATACACACAGCCTCTGCAGGGTCAGGAAAAGCTGCTGTCAATGGAGCAGTCACCAAAAGCTGCGCCCTCACAGCTGCATGTCCCATCAGAATCAAAGTTAATAAAGCACTTTTCAAAAATTTGCTTTGAGAACTATCAAAACGGAAGAAAATGAAGCTACGAATACAATTTACTTTTCAAAAGAGTTGAACTTTCTGAACATGCTGAGAGGTTAATTTTTGAGCCAAAACCTATAAAATTCACACTTTTGCTGACTAGTAAACTTAAGCAGACACAATATAATTTCCCACACTTCAAAATGCAAGTGTCGGTGGTCAGTTTGATTGAAAAGGTCATACAACAGAAACAGCTGCAAGTGACCAATCATTATCAAGTCTTGCGACTGTGCGATTTTCATCCCCAAACCACAAATCTAATCTTGTGAAGAAATTATTTCGTTTTCTGGGCTAGAGGCGTTATTTTAGCAAAATTTCACTGCAGGGTTTCCACGTGGTATTATTAAGAATCCTGCCGATCTGTTTGCAAACATGGCGGAAGGCTGCATAGCACTTATTTAGTGTTCTCAGTTGGGGTTAAATTAGCTAGAGCCCATATGGGAAAATTCGTTTGATCTTCAATTAGTTTTTAACTAAATTACCTTCAAGAGGCGCTGAGCTCTTAGTTTCACTGTAATTTAGATGCACTTTGCTCCTTGAGGCTAAAACTTCCGTTCTATCATACTGACTATTCCTTTTTTTGCGAACTACTTAACCTTGTTTTTAACAATGCATACAAAAGAACACAAAGCTGAAGACAAAAGCTGGGTCGTGGGAACTAAATATAACTTCTTTTTTGGCGTCTAGGAGCCTTTAGAACAATGTGAAACTAGTTCAAATGATTGTAGATTAAGTTACGCAATAATGTGTGCTAAATTTTAATAGCTCATACCTGAGTTAACCTATCAGATTTTCCATTATTCTTTGGAATAGTATTTGATCACGTAAATTTAACCTTCCACTTTTTTCATTGTTGATAATATGACCCCAGTTTTCACTTTGTCATTCATATCCTTTCTTGTTTATACCGTTTATTTTCCTGATTTTACTTATTGAGTAATTCTTCTAAAGAACTTATCTGTTTGATGCTATTTTCACTGAAAAAAAACTGACTCATAGGAAAGTATTTGTGACGCTCTGTTAAACAGCGTTAAGGACAAAGGCATAGTAAACGTTGTCAAATTAATTAAACTTCTGCAGCTGTGTTCAATGAATAACAAACCAAAGGCACATGTTGGTAACCTTAATGTACGACTGACCCAAGCCGCCATTTATTCATATATAATTATAAACTGGACATAAACAAAAAGAAGCCTTTACTAGTCATTGCGAAATTTTTCCCTTTTTTTCATTTGAAAACAAGGGTGATGCAATAATACAGATAGACACAGATTACTTAACTTGGTTCATTTAAAAAAGAGTTAAAGGAAATTGGGAACTTGTGAGTGACTTGAAATAAAGTTGTGTTCAAAATGTGCTGATTGGTGAAAAAGGATGTCCTACGGGGTTTTATTAACAATACATTACATTAGGTAGTTATTAAAGGTAGTATAAATCGACTTGAAATATGAAAACCGTCTCTCTTTAGTTTTAGTAGCGCAATTGCGCAACATTTCGGAGGCTAAAGCAAAACTCTTCTACTTCTCATTCTACATCAGCAAGTCATTTTTTAAAGTCATTACTTAAATCTTGTTTACTTCAAGTAATATATCACTTGACATTCCTTGTATTGGAAAATAAAATAAACATTGCACTTTGCGGTAGAAATTTAATATCTTCAGACAAGAAAATTGGGGAAGTGAAATCAACTCTGAAAGCGCCAGTTTTTTAACTGATCACTTCAGCTGATAGTTCAGCAGGAAGCAATGATTGATTGGCTATTTGGCTCATTGTTTCCATTTCAATTTCTGTGCTGGTTCTTTAATGGCGATTGCTGAAAGACTTAAAGGGTCAGAATGGTCCTATTTTGAATTATGTCTAGCGGAATGAAAACGAAGCCTTAAATCTATGGGATGATCGCTTATTACGACTTTGTGACTATGATGTAAAGGGGAACATTGACCGTGGGAAAAGTTACTGTTTGACCAACAAAATTAGGGTTTTTACGCTTCACCGGGATCAGACGCAAAACAATCGAAACATCTTGATAAGAAAGATAAGAATGAAAAAGAAAATCTCTTGATGAAGTCTTTACGGAGTTGTAATGCACGCACGTTCAGTGATCGCACTTATTTATCCATTACATTACATGTAGACTGGTTACGAACAACTTAAACGAGCGCTTTTGAAGGCATTGTTTATTCACCGCATATGCGTAACACTTATTTATAATACATCTTGCTCGAAAATTATTTCAAAACGGTACAATGAGGAGATGGGAGGTCTTTTAGTGATATGATAAACATGTAAACGCTGTATTGGCAATATCTGGCATGATCTTAATTGTTTACTCAGCTTTTCGCTGCACCAAGTACTTCTATATAAATATTTTAATAACTTTGCACAAAAAGTTGACGATTTCAGTTGGTCAATTGGTACGTGGTAAACAAGAAGAATCAGTTTTTCACTTAAAAGTAAAATTGTAGGTGTAAAGAATCTTGACTGTGCATATTAACAGTAATAGCGTTTTGTGTAAATTGGTTTTTTGATTTTCAATTAATTTTTCGAAATGCTTATAGGAATTCTTATTTCTTCTTAGTTTTTTCTAGAATGTAATTTTAATCAGTTTGCAGATCTCATTTCGCGCGCAATTTTGTCATTTTTCCAAAGCGTTTGCATGAAAGGAAGCTTTGCCTAAGGCTACCAAGTCAATTAGGATCGCTATCTCTTTATCATCATCACTGAGATCTTCTATCTGTTGAAAAGATGAAACAATTATTAATCTCTAGATAACACATTACCCTTATCATCTACATAACACCCTTTCTTCGCGGAGCGCGTTTAAAAATTGACCTTGATTTATCATTTGTGCTCCGCGCTAGACGCACACAGACAGACTTGGGAAAAATCACGAAAAGCAAGCTCTTAGGTCGTGAGCATCGATCCGGTTGATCAGATCTGCGCGCAAATTAACTGCTCTAGACACTTAATATATTTACTTTTCTTTTGTTTTCGTCCAACCTGCTTAATTAAACAAAACAGCGTTTGTTTTCCTTACTCAGGAACACGTGTAATTACAGGATACCTAACGATTTCAAGGTATAGTGTCTTTGAAAAGTTTGTCGCACTTCTTTCAAAGTCGAAAATAATGCTTCACATTCTGTAACTCCAAGGCCATTTAAATCTGTCGTTGATATCCTATTAACAGTCTATTGGATAATATAAACAATAATATCACTTCCGAATTTAGTCTAAACTCCCTCAATTAATCTTCTTAGTGAGAAAGAGTCATTTTTATTGCTGGTCGTTTTACATAATAATATGTCTGCGGAAACAATAGATTGCCTCCAGTGTTTATTTTCATTTATTGAACCTCAAGCAATAGCTCTTAAGAAAAGGCGCATTGTTTTGTTCAGGTTTTCCATCGGTGCCGTCATTGTGTTGTGAGGCCGAGTGTTAAGTAATTATTAAAAACGGCAGTGTCAACATTACCATTCATATTGTAAACATGTAAACATTGCTGGGCTAGATCAAATCGACTGCAGTATTGATTTAAGATGTTATGGTTAGCCAACTTGTTTATAAACATGAAACATTGAAAGCCACGTTGAAATCGTGGCTGGAGGCGTTTTTTCCTCTGTGTTCTCGCCGCCCCATATCGATCACATCTAACAGACACTTGAAAGGCCACCTTTGACACTTGTAAAACACGATAATGGCTAGCCATACTAGATAATCGGAGCGCTTCAATCAAACTCAAGTGCTCCCCATTTTTGGTAAAGTGTTTATTTTTTATACAAATCATCACCTAGAGAACTAAACTGTTATAAAGCTAAACACATTGATCACCACATCGACATTTTGCGGAAGAAAAAAGGCGCAGTGAACGTTGTGATTTATAAACTTCTTATGGTTATTGAATGAGTCCGATGAAAAGTAAAACCCAGCACAAGTGGGTGATAACATGTTTATACAGATGACTGACACAAAATACTATGTACATAATGGGACGGCAAAAGATCTTAGTTTTGCGTTAAGGTTCTGTTCGATTTCGTAATGCTGATGTAAAAGTGTTCTTCATTCTGTCACTTGTTACTTAAATTGCTCATACCAAAGACGTTATTAGGAAAATTTTTAAGCCCTATGAAATTGCTCTACTCAAATGGACCATTAAAAAAACCCATTTGTTCTAGAAAGTGATGCTTTGTTCTGGAGTTGATGCTGACCTGGCTTCTTTTCTTCCAAATTTCGATAAATCTCTTTAACAGTAGGTCCGAAAAACCTCTTAATCAAGAAAAATTATGTGATTGTGAGCGGAATTACGTTTGCCAGTTCAACATTCTTGTGATAAATGTAGCGAAACTTGTGTCTTTGCATAATCTGTGAAATATTTACAATCGCGTAAGCAAGTCTGATTTTCTACCAGAAAGCTACCCTATAGTCTAGTACTTGAACTCCAACAGTACTTAAGATGTATTCTAAATGTTTGCTAACTTTGTGGAAATCAATAAACTGAATGTTCTAAGAACTTAGTTCTTTAGTCACAGAATTTCACTAAGCGTAATTAATGCCTATTCCATTCTCTGACTGCGAAACAGGAGACATATACAAGTAAGGGTGGAACGAGGATGATTGGAAATGCGGGTTGTAGTTTCTGAATGCCGGGTTATCCTGCCAACTGAAGAGTCCATAAGGCGGGGGAGGTGTCGAAAAACCATGGTACTGATTCATTGGAAAGTGCGCGGTTTCTGCCGCCTCACGCGAGTAGTAGTCATACCTTGACGTTGGCAGCAATGGGCTTCTGTTTGGGGTGACTCCAAACGGGTGCGGGAACGGCTCTTTAGGAGGGTGCGGCTTGGTGAGCTCTAGACTATGAGAAGGCTTGTGATGATAAGGAAATAAGGTGGCAGAAAGAGGTAATCCAAGCATACTGCGATCTGTTCCACATCCCAAGGCATGACTGCATCTTGGTCTTCGAGGCTTTCTTGGTCGTCGAAAATTTCCTTTGGAAAACTCTGGTAGATCTTTCGGGTGGATCATCCAGTAATGCCCCTTTCCGTTTTCGGCTCTGCTCGCCTTCACAAAGCAGTCATTACTGGACAGATTATGTCTCACGCTATTTCTCCAGCCTGGTCCTTTCTCTTTGTCGAAGTGTGGAAAGGTTTTGGCGATGAAATTGTAGATTGAGCTTAGGGTCATACGCTTAGAAGGGACACTTAAGATTCCTTGAGCTATGACGGCCACAAACGTCTCAGTCAGATTTCGGCAATCTTTTGTCTCTGGTTCTTCGTTCTCATCTTCGTCTATGCTGTTTCTCATGGATTTGTCACTGTCTTTAGCCTTTTCTAGCAAATGATCAAGTTTATGGTCTTTGGACGTGGTTTTGTTTAGCACTTTTGTCTGCGCTTCAAATTGTGACCGCGGCATTTGACCGAATTCTCTTTCTCCTTCGCTGAGGGTAAATCTAAACGCACTGGTATCAAAACCGTTACCTCCTTGCCTGTTTGTGTGGACGGTGAACATTCTAAAACTTTGAGAAGCTTTTAACGAACGCCTCGTGAAACTCAAAGGCTCATCGAGAGTGCAACTCGTGTGACTGTTGTCAACAAATAGTGAGCTATCTATATGCCGATGGCTATGTAGTTTGACCTTCTTTCTTATTAGGTTGTGCCGCATTGATAGTCTTAGCAGGGGGTTCGGAAACACCAAGCGGACAGATGCGTCGTTAATTTGTGTATGAAATAGCCGCCTTAAATATAGCTTTCTACCTCGCGGCGATAAAACTAGTCGATTAGTTTTCTCTCTAATTTTTTGAAACCTAAGCGCTGTGTTTTGTGCCACATCACTGGGTTGTGCTCCTGAGGAAGTTAATTGGCAGCCCGCTGATCCGTGCTAATTCAAGCTTTGATTTAAACAAGCGAGGAGTTATAAGAACTGTTTATGATGTACCGGCAGCTGGGTTCTACGTCACCAGCGTTTAACCACGCATGATCGATCAGTCAATTCCGCTCGCCAAGAATGGCGTAGTTAAGAAAAGGAAATTAGGATAGATAAGAATGTTTATAATTTGATCAATCATGTAAATACCTGAAAACAGTTTATGTCATTTCGTATTAACCAGATAGGAATTACACATCCGGGATTATGGCCGAATGTGTGGGTGGGCGGGTGGAGTGGGGCTAGTTACAGTTTTACCGCAATTGTTTTGGGGCTTTTGCCAATTTTTTTTCAACGTTCATTATTCCCGCCCTTATTTTGTTATCTCCTCTAAATGTGCTGAAGGCATAATTAAAACGAACAGATTTTGATGATTGAGTAATTTCTCAATCTCATTTTCGATGGAGATGGCTTTTTTTTATCATACGCCTACGTTTTATTTCAAATTTTTAATTCTGTGTATCCTGTATTTAGTCAGTTCTTCTGTGAGAAGCGAGGGTGGACTGTATTCTCCTGAGCTGCCTGGGGCATTCTGCCTTGCCACTGTTAGGAGATTTTTAAAGTGAATCATTGTTTTACTGATTTTTGTCTCGTTCATGTCTTAATGCATCCAAAAGACGAGACTAATCCTTAATAGTGCGAGGCATACAGAGTTAATTTCTCTTCTCTGTGATTATGTCTCAACTACAGTGTTTAAACACTTAACGTAATAATAATTACTGTTAATGGTTTTTAAATTCACTTGCCATGATATACTTCATTTGGCATCCTATAAATAACTTGTTGAAAAGTTCCCACGAGAATTTCAACTACGCCGTGAAGTATATCAACTTGTAAACAAACTCTGCGTCAGTTAGCAATTACTAATTGAGGTGTTTAAGTAAGTGAAAATTGTACTGAACAACTCTGACCTTGGAATACCGACAGTTAACCTTGAAATGGTCCCTTGGAAAATTTACAAGCAATTATTTTAATAGTTCTCCCAATAATGCTAAAAGTCTCGAAATTAAATCGAGTTTTTCGCAGAAATGAATGAAGTATGACGTGTCTTTGAAATTATCTCAATTGCGGATAATCAAAATAAATTATGCAAAGATAGAACCTCAAAGTAATGATATAACCTAAGTTTCCTGACTTGACAAACGACTTAAATAGGGGGATAAAATGAAACATGACATAAAGCTTCGTGTGCAGGATCAAAAATTTTGTTAATGCAAGGAAAAGCCGAGTGATTGTTTGATGGTTGCCAAGTTAATCGACAATAACAAACTCCTGTGAAAGTAAACATTATGATTGGTCAATCATTCATCCATATCCCTCATTTGGTATTTAATTTTTTATCGTTGAACTTGAATGTTACGGGCCACACTCTTTGGTTGGGAAGGACTGGGGTACTTGACGTGAACCTCTTTTAACGAATTCCGTGATAACGAACGCAATTTCTCGGTGTTAGTGAGGCAATGTATGCGAAAGGATATATTCTTGTGTACTATTTTTAGCTAATGATTTTAGACTTGTTAGATAAATACCAACTACAAGTACATATGATCAATAGTATTTGTACAGGTCTTCATTAAATATAACTAAGGAACACAACTGAAAACAGATTTAACATCAAAGTTGACATAGGAACGAGGTAATATCTGGACTATGGGCAATTTGTTTCTCTGGCGATTATGAGCTCGAGTTTAAGGTGAGAGGAGATTGGGACGCGAAGAGATTGGGGTAAGACAGGAATGAGATGGAGTGTTTCGTTTTCCGCGGTTTCGACCAAACTAAAGCCTACCCGCACAAACGTTAATTATGTGTTTGCTAAGCCTCCGTGAATACTCGTTGGACGAGACATTTCTATCTCAACTCTAGGTACTTAGGAATCAGAGGAAACAACTCTGACTCATACGCTTTCTTACTAAAAGAAGACTACCAAAAATCCCTCTTTTTCGGCAAAGTCCATCGCGCGAGTCAAAAGAAATCAGTAGAAATATAAATTGATGTGAGTGTACCGCATGGAATTCTGGGAGTAAAGCGCACGAAAATAAGCCTCACTCCCAGAGTTCCGCGCGGCGCGGTAACATCAATTTTAGAATTGTTTTTTACTCGCGGCCTAAAAAGAGGGACTGCTCTTAAACTAACGGAAAAGTCGGAAACAATAAGTTAATAATTTATCAAATATATTTAATAATTTAAGAATACATATGAAAACATCTATGAAAACGCTCCACTTTTTATTAATGGATATCAATCATCACAGTGCAACAAGGAAATTTAATTTTCAATTGCAATGGACTCATTCGATTACAAAGAGGAAGTTTCTTTAAAACAAAAACTACGTGACACTGATAATAATGAATAAAATAGTAGCATTGGCGGTAGCTCCATAATTAATAAATTAAGAAATGTCGATTTCCAAATTAAACTGGCTGTCTGTCCACTGATTCCAAGGTCGAATTCTAATTTTTAGTACAGTTGTTTAATGGAGAACCCTCTATAAAGGACAAGGGGATGAAGAACAGACTCAAGACTCATGTGGCATGGGGTCTGGACGCGACCCGAGCCGTACCCAGGTTTAACTTTAGTGCGACAGGAGTACCTTTGCATTGCTTGTCACTCTCTTCTTTATAGCCTTAAAATGTCCCATGTTTTTACTCATTATTACCTCATTTAACACAAAAGCAGAAGGAGAGGGCAAGTCGGTGTGAAAACCAGAGATGTTATTCTCTCCTCAATCACTGGTATTTTTCAGGGGTTTACAGTTTTTACTTTTTTGCTTTTTTTTGGTTTTTTGTTTTTCCTTTTTTTACATTCTTTTTGCCGAAGAAGCTCATTCACATGAATAAAAAAAATTCAAGTCTGTCCTGAAGCCAAGTGATCCACTCAGCTGGAGCTCATGAATAGCATGAAGTGACTAGGAATATCACAACCCCGCCAGATGGGATGCCAATCTATCGCAAGCTTCTCGTTTTATCAGAGTTCCCTGACAATTCGCTTTTCTCGGTGACAATTTACGTTCCTGGGTGGAGAGGGGTACCGTGAAAGTTAAGTCTTTTTCTCAAGAATACAATAGATCAACCCGGTCAGGTCTCGGACCCGTACCCAGTCTCTACCCAGAGTCCAGTGCACCGAGTCCATTTAGCTGCCGCGTCTTCCACACCATGTAAGGTAAATAAATGAAAACCTTTTTTATTATACTGCAGCAGTCTTACTTCACTCTCTCCCTCTGACCAACTGCCTAATATGGAACAGTATATGGAGGCAGCTAGTTAAGTAAACCTTTAACAAGTTCGTCACAGTTGGCTACAAGGTGATGCAAACCAGGCTCGTATACATATTAAAAAAAGGACTTACAGGTGTAAAACCTTTTGTCAAAGGAAGAGGTTTTTTGATCATTGCTCAACCTCTCTCTGCTCGATTATGCGTAAGAAGCTGAAGCTAGGAGATAATTAGATTGGAAAGAAGTTAACCAATTTCATAAAAAAGGTCATAGAGTGAATAGAAAAGTCACTAGGTTATCTTTTTGTTGGACTTTGAAACAAAAGTTCCGATATTGCCAAAAGAAGCTATCTCTATCCCAGTTCCTCTTTCTTTTTTTCTCAAAAAGTTTCCTAGTATATTTATCTCAAAACTTCGTCCAAGAACAGCTTCCCTTTAGTTTGTCGTCATCATAACAATGCCTTATGTCGGCGCCTGTATTAGACACATCAGGCTCTAAGGAAGTTTGCCAGCATCAATAAAATTTATTTCAAACGGTTTTATTGAAAAGCTCTTTACGATATTGCAATTACATGTCATTCTGCTGTCTAAAGAGCGATGTCACAGTTTCTTTTTTCCTTTGAATTTCAAAGGAAACATATGGCTGCTCTAGACACATCTCTGCTTTATGAGAGCTGTTGAGTGTAGCCTTTTATTGCCCGGAAATCATTTGTCAAAGGTAAAATCATAATTACTGATATAAAATAACACAGTATCGTCTCATTATCAAATAATTATTCAATTTTTTCGTTGTAACATTCAGGGAAGTGTTCGAGGTTTGACGTTGCTTTTTAAGAATCTCAACTGTTTCTACGGAACTGTTGCTGATCACCTTTTTTACTTTTTGTTTTGTACTGTCTGTTTGAGTCAAACTGCGTATCCCATGCATTTGCAAAACACGCTTGAACAATTTCACACAAATGTTGAAATTTAAAGTTCCTTGATTGCTACGATCACTTTTCTATCCGAGTCATTGTATGATTTCGCTAGCAGTTATGCAGTATTCGAATCTGGAACGATACAGAACTACAAAAAAGTCTTCAAGTGCAACAGGTGGATAACAAACAAGTCAAGGCAGTGAAGAGGATTTCAAGGTATGTTCTGTGTTTTTACAACAGCATAAATTATAACAGAGACTAGTCAAGTTCCTTTCAAAAGGCTCTCTTTTTAACAGTGACAATTTACGATCTACGATCTAAATTCGGTTAACATTTTCCTTACCAATATCGTTACTTATGCAGCTTAGTTCATTAGGCGGTATTTGAAATATGTCAAAGAGCCTTTCATTGTGGTTTTGAAACGGCCTTCAATCATTGCGATAACTGCTAATATTTATGATGTAAGCTCCAGCCATTACGGTTAAAAAATGTCGCAATCTTCTAAGCCAAAATTTGTTTTCACCGCGAAGCAGATACATAACACAATTTTGATACGATTACATGAGAGTTTTGTTTCTTGAATATCCGTTTGCGGGTTTTCATATCGGTTCCGGTGACCGGCAGAAATCCCTGAAAACTTCCGTTGCCGATGGTTTTATGGTTTCAATTTCCGATAAATAACGTTACTGACACTGATGCTAAAGATAATTCCTGTTTTAAAAAGAGGCTCCGTTAAATGACCTGAAGTGTGGCAAGTTAATGAGCAAACTGTCGTGAGTATAAATGCCGCTCACCGGTTGATTCACGTCGAAGGCAGTTGCCTAGAAAGCCATTATTCTATTAGCAAGGCAAACAACTCCCTTCGATCTACTTAAGTTCTACAGAAAATTTTTATTGTCACTTAAGAAAAAGGAGTACACAAACATGTACTTCCTTAGGCTTTTTACCGCACCTTTTATCTTTTCCGTTAATGTAACAGTTGCTACAAATACGGTGAAAAGATGTTCACCATTTTCGTGTTGGATTCAGTGATTTCAAGCCTAGTTCAGTTTTCCAAAGTTTCCATTCTTATTTAGTATGTTGTTATTAGCCTCAGAAAAGCAATAATTAATAAAGAACTCTGGCCATAACCACTGTAAGTAAAACATACCGTCCAAGCCAAAACAAAACTCCTTCTTCTTTTGTGGTTTATACCGTGCGGTTCTTCTCCTTTTGTGTTTTAGTTTCATTTGTTTTTAAGACTCGCGCAAGCCTCTTTAAAGTTGCGTTTTGTCTCTTGTTTCAGTAAGAATGGAAAGCTTTGACCTCCAACTGCGAGAATATCACTGCCAAATTACCGCGTGTTTGAAAACGGCACCTGCTCCGGCATCTCTTCTCTACAAAGTGTAAAAGAAACCAAGTCGTGCTAGGTTTGTCATTTCATTAGTTCGTTAGTATCTAAGGACGCTATACTAACAGTAAATCAAGGGTCAAAACAAGCTTGTTTGCTCGGCTTTTATTAGCTTTTCGCTTCCAAAATAACGCTCACGCGAGAAAACAAGAGAGCAAAAACTCGCACTGTCCAAAAATTGCTTTGGCCTGCAAAAGCACAAAGCAACTTCCCGCTCATGCCAAGAAGTTTAATTTACGACTGTTTAAGCCAAAATGAGAAGTGATTTAGATCAAGTACTGCGTTTTGCCTTTTAACTAAGTTAACGATTTCGTTTAAGCATAAACGACGCGGCCATCATGTCTGATCTCCTAAATATTATAGGCAAACACATGGTTGCTTTGTGAAACATCTAATTCACACATTTGTGTTCTCATGCTGGTGTCTTGACGAAACTTCCCGCTTATCAAGAAAATGTTATACACCAAAAAAAAAAATAATAATCGGCTGGGATCTGAACATAGACTCCTTGAAAATTCAGTGAATATTCTAGAATATCCAGCCGTTTGAAACAAAATGACTGAGTTGTAAAATAAAGCTTTACCAAGTCTTCTTTTGTATGAAAACAATGCATCAACATACGTGCTTTTGTCAAAAAAAATAATCCTTTTTCAGATTGACTTTTGCATCCCTGGCCCTTTTTGATGATTTCCGTCTTTATATTTTTCGGCAACAGTTTTTGGTTGACATACATATTTAACACTGAAAAAGAAAGCTTGTAATTTATCTTTGACACCTAAGCTATTGATACTCCTGACATGCTTTAACGAAGACACATTTGGCACAGCGCGACCCTGCATAAAAAAGCATGTTTGTATTTTAAAATTTCCTCAACTTCAAAACACCATCGTATTTTTCTTTATTTTTTAAATTCTTTTTAAATCTCTTTCTTTGAATATGCGATTTTTTTCATCAGACGCATAAATCAATAGAACAGGTACTGGTTAAACTTTCCATGTTTTCCTTTTTTCACAAAACACATGATCGCAAGCATAGATTCTATTGCTTGTAACTTTAAGCGTATTCTATTCTTTGATAAAGCTTCTTTTTCACAATTGTCGACACACATGTTGAGGGTATCGTGGGAGGCAAATAGAAAACTAAACCTCTTTAATTTTTAAACTTGGTACATCAGTTTTTCTTCGTCTTAAAGAGAAAGAGAAAAGAACCTTAAATCACCTTGTAAAATTAACATGTATTTTATTCTTCTTGCGGTTTCTTTCAAAAACAAAAAGAATTCTTTAGACCAATTGTTCGATGCTAAATAGGCTCATCTTTGCGGGTATTTGTTATTTTAACGCTTATTTCTTTTCAATGGCAAAGTCTTCAAGGCAACGCAGAGATATGTTTCACATCTAATTACTAACAAGTCACTGAAAATTGTTTTCCTTGCAGTAAAAAGAACCAATATCTCACTTAAAATCGTGAAATACTCGATTTGTCTAATACAGCTTCATTCTGCTCGAGAGTTTACAATATTTCTGTTTTCTCGAAAATATTTCTCGGCAAGAAAGTCAATTAGGCTTTTGACTTTTGTGGGCATATCTTTGTTTTGAATCAGTGTGCAATTAGAGACAAGAATAGCCTTCAAAATTTAGTTTTTGGATTACAGTGGCGCGCTTCTGCAAATCACTTTTAATTCTTTTTTTGTCGATTTATCTTCGACGCTTAAAATATCCATGACTCTCCCGAATTCAGACTTAAAAGATGGAACCAGAGTAGTTTGTGAATACAAAATATTAACATTTATAGGGAATTCCTTAAAAAAAAGATGGTCTATTGTGCTAACTTTGATACAAGAATCTACCGCGACATTTGTCCTAAAGAAAAGGAATAACCCGTTTTTTTTTATTGAACAATTACGATTTAATTACTAACGTTGACAAGCTTAAGGTTGCTAACCTACTATAGAACGTTCAGGGGAAACTCTGGCAAACTATAGACGCTTTATGTTGCTTGGTAAAGAAAACAATAGAGGCTGTGAGTAAACTAAACTCCCCTATCGCTCTAAATATAACGAACGAAATCAAGGCGTGGACGATAACGGTAAAATTGCTCTTTCAATACAAAAAGAAACACAACTTACACAAGTAATTACATTTAATTTGGATGCAGGTTTTGCCCCGACAAGTTATAAATCCAAACGCTCTTCGAAAAAAAACAAAAAAAACAGCGGAGACAACAACTGGAGAACAGCTTTGAGAAAAGTATGTACCAAGAGATTTTTAGTAATTTGTGTAAAGCGAATATATATGTAAACAAATTGGAAAGTATGAGGTCTATATTTAGCAGAATTTCTTCTCGATGATTCGGCTTGTGATTCTGAAAGCGTGTATAACATCATTTATTTTTATCGCGATAAACTTGATAAATTTTCAAACTCATTTTCGAAGTATAGCTTTTTGACGTCATAATATTATAACCTTTTCGCGATTTTTCCTAAACCCCACATAGAGCAGCTAATGAACCTAATTACCCAAGACTTTACCCCGCAGCTGAAGAAAGAACTAAATTCAAAAGTGTTTTTGAGAAACACTTTCTTTTATATTTTTAGCAGTATCGGTTCGTCTTTAATGTTTAGCTTCTGTGTATTCCGCATGAGATTGGCTAGTAAAGAATCTGTGGTGTTGTATTAATTAAACCCAGTCTATGTGTTCCCCAGTAAACGTGTAAACTTTGCTTCTTCAACAAAGTATTTCTCTAACTTAAGCATCACCTGCCGTATTGAAGTGATAAAAGTTTCCCTATCTAATTGGCATGTCCTCGAAAGAAGCAATATTTGAATTGAGCACCATTAGGTACATTTTGCACAAGATAACTGATGTCTTTCTTGTGGGATGTTTTATCAAAACGGGCAGATATTGATTCATCTTTCATGGTGGTTCTCAGGGGCATTTTGGTAGTGTCAACAATGGCAATTATATAAAGAAATACATATGCTTCCTAGAGTACACATGACTTGCTTTGACTTGATCGCTTTCATACCGCAACAAACGGCTTTTATGAACCATATATCAAAATTGTTGCAAAACAAATTAAAAATTTAGACTATTGACTCAGTTGCTATATGTCTCCAAAACACTCGGGCTGACACACTGGCAATAATTTTTTATTACTTTTCATCGCGCCTTGAGAAAATCTTTAGCGCTTTGCCTTGAATTTGTAAATTGAAGCTATGATTTGCTCGTATTGTTCGCTTAATGACAAATGTAGGCTTGCAGTGAGTCGCGGCAGTGTTGTTTATGTAATTTTCATTGACACGTCACTGTAGGCATAGGCACCTGCGTGGCCGGAAAATTTGCAACCCCCCAGGAGGCGTCATACAATATCATGCCTCAATACACTCGACATATAAAGACTTACTCTACAGCTGTAATCAGTCACTTTCACACGCATTTCGTACCGTCAACACCTACTTATCGCCGGTGAGCGCGTTGACTTGAAAAGCTTGCGTAGACTTAGGGAAGTAGAACTCGCACCCTCATGGAAAATATTTCTAGTTTGAGCAAGTATCTTCTACAGCCAGGTAGGATGTCACGCTTTAATTATCATGATTTTAAGACGTTCCATGAGAGGGAATTGAGTGACCTGTACTCTGAAAAACTGCAAACTGACAAGAAAGACGAGAGTCCTCATGAATTTTTGGGAACAAGAATCACTGAAGTTCAAGAGCAAGAACAAGAAAACGAGGATAAAGAGCTTACAGAGGAAGTCCGAGATACAACGACGCCTAAACATGACAGTGACGATGAAATAAAGAATGACCGCGGGAAATCAACGGATGAAGACAAAACCAAAGGCTCCAAAGAAGACGAACGTAACTCAGAGACGTTTGTTGCTGTCATCGCACAAGCAATTCTCAGCGTCCCCACAAAGCGAATGACTCTGAGTTCTATCTACAATTTTATCGCACGGAACTATCCGCATTTTGACAAAGAGAAAGGACCAGGCTGGAGAAATAGCGTGAGACATAATCTGTCCAGTAATGACTGCTTTGTAAAGGCTAGCAGAGCCGAAAACGGAAAGGGACATTACTGGATGATCCACCCGAAAGATCTACCAGAGTTTGCTAAAGGGAATTTCAGACGACGCAGGAAACCTCGCCGTCCCAAGTGTAGCCATCCTCTCATGTTTAGAGAAACTCCATTCCTTTATCATTCATTTTCACCAAGCTTCTCAACATTCCCCTACACGGCGCATTTGAGATCAGCTCCTGGTGAAGTTCCCACTGAATTACCTGTACCTTTACCATACAGCTCTACGGAGCGCACATTGTCGCCTGCTTTCCGTCCAAGACTTGGCCTTTTGCCGGGGTATGATGATGGTAGGGCTTTAGGCACCGGATCCCATGCGTTCACCTACTCGACATCTGCGCTGAGATTAGCCGAAGCATCGACCGCCAGGAGCTTTCCAACAGCCAGTGGATTGACAAACTTCCATGGCTGTTTTCATTATCCGTGTGCGTGTCATCGTTAAATGAACACAGCATAAAAATCTGGATTTATGGCGAACATTTTCCCTCCGGTTCGCATAATTTTCAAGAAAAACGTTAACTTGTACACATTGCCACTTTCACTGATGTCGCCAGAGTGGCAATTATTCTAACGATAATCATAAAATTTATTAGATTAGAATTTATCTACACCGCATACAAATTATTCAGTCGACTGTTGAATTCAGATATTCTTGAGTCGAGGGAAAAGTTACTAGATTGCGCAAGTCCTATTTATTTCATAGCTTTTTATTGAACACATTTTATTGAAACACTATAGCCTGGCAAGTTTAAGAATTTAACTTAAAGATAAACTTAATTTAAACTGAAGTAGCTAACAAGATGAGACTCTGAGTGCTTTTAGCGTTTTAATGGTTCAAGGAATACTTCCGCTAATCTGTTGAAGTTTGTAAATACATTTGTGAAATTAGTGTTTGATCGGATCCGTTTATGTACAAAGAGGACCTTAGTTTATCACGACCAATAAAAATTCTAAATGAAACTGCAGTTTAATATTTACTTGCTTAAAAGAGAATATTACAAGAACAATGCTTTTTTTTACCGTTAATACATACAATAGAAAAAAGAAATTAAATTTGCGGTGAGTCAAAAACGAACAGTGTGGCAGTCGGGTTCCGGCTGGTTAAGTTAGAGGGATCCGGACCACGAGAGAAATAACGTTTTTCATTCCTTAATTAAACTGTTTAAAACCTTGTCTTCTCAAAAGATTTTGAGTATCACTGGTGTTCCCCGATACTCAAGTTGAAGCTGAGAAATCTTTGAATCAACACTTCCAGAATGAGATGAATTTACAGAAACATTATAAAATCTGAATGTTTGAGTTTCCCACGCAAATACAAGTCAGTTTGGTACATAATTATCACTACGTAATTTCCGCCTTAGCTTTTCTCTTTTTTTCTCTCAATACAAAGACCTAACATTGTGGTTGTGTTCGTAAAACAGCTGTAAACATCGGAAGGAAGACTTTTTCACCATTCTTAGCACTCAAAGCAACAAATAAGAGAAGTAAACGGAATTGATTTGCAAATGAAAAACTTAAAATTGTATAATTTGAATGTCAATGTAAAATTGAAATCGGTTTTGTATACTTGACAAGTCTTCGGGGATTTTTGGAAGTGAAATATTCAGTCTTTAAGGTTTGATTTAAATCTCAATAGAATCAATATTTTTCTCTCATTTTGTTTGTTTAGGATGAATTTTGTGCTAATGCTAAATCTTTGTACACTCTGTTCATATGCAGTTCTTAACTTCGCGGTATAAAATGGCTTATCGGTAGTTGGCTTAGCCGAACCTTCAAATCTTAGTAGGCAATGATTTCTTTTTGACATATTTTAACCAAAACAATGTTATTTAGAACTTCCAATTAGTAGTTTAGATTACTTAATTTCCTTTAGTAAGCGGCGTCGCCGGCACAGTTTAAAGATTTGTTTTTCCTACTCAAACAAACATACAAATGAAAATCTTTCGCCTTTGCTTTCTGTAAGATAAGATAGGAGATAATGCACCGCACAGGAAATTCTTGTGAATCAAAAATAAATCTTTTGAATTTCTGTTCCTGGAGACAGATCGTTGCGTTAAGTTTCCATAAACTTACGTAGTCCTGCCCCCAGGAGATAAAAATTGAAAAGATTCGCACCACAGTGGTCTTGGTTTTTTCTTTCATGAAAAAGCATGTTCATTAACTTACTTTTAATAAACCAGATGTCTCCTATTTTAACAAGCACCGAAATGAACACTTACTTTTTTCATATTACAAACGCCATATTATAGAATTCCTCAGTCACCGTAACTGAAGGGCTGATACGAATATAAAGTTTGATAATACAAATAACTTCGGTAAATAAAGGACGCAGAGATATCATTACAATAAAATACTTGGTTTACGTATTTGAATTATAAACCAAGCACTGCAAACAAGTCTAAACTAACCCATACTACCGGTGTTCAACTCTGCTGAGCTGAGCAGCACTTATCGTTTCATAAGTGAAAAGGGTGCAAATTGATTAAGCCTGATAGCATGCAATAAGTTGGTGTAAAGACACAAATTATCAGGTACGGTATTATCATAGCAGGCTTTGACGTTATTGAAAAGCCTGACAAAGACAAAGAGCTGACTTTAAGATGAGCAATTCTAGTCAGCAAATGCAAACAAGCGATGCCTTTGTCTGTAGTATTGTCATTGTTCGTTGAAAATAGTTATTCAACAGAGATGACAATTATAAAAGTACTAGGAATTGCCTGCGGCGGACACACCTCCGTGCTTCTATAACCAGCATAACTTTGAAAATTTTAAAATAACACCATTTCGTGTCACGATCTCGTCAGAAATCTTACACATAAAATAATGAAGCAATTTTGATTCTTTAGAGAGACTACAAAGGAGAGGTACTGGTCACGTTTCGGCTTCTTGTAATGCGTGCATTGCCTTTACTGATAAGACTCTTTACCCTTTCAGACCCCATGCATGGGTTATTGTTGAACACTCTTTCTCTTTGTATAATTTAAATACGTTTATACCTGCTACAAAGACACTGCATGTTGTTAGACGTTTATTTAGGAATATAGCTATGTGGTGGGCAGGGGTAGTTAACGTATATACATGTCAAAAAAACAACCGTTTTGTGGTTTGATTGAATTCTTTTGTTAACATCATGAACGATATTCCATGAAAGGAACTTGAGGCGGAAAAGGGCTGGAGCTAACGGAGTTCAGTCCAAGCTAAATTCTGTGAACAAAGCAAGGCCCTGTGGATAACATCCTGATGCGCAGATTAAGTTGAGAACCCAAGAGTTTATTTCTTATTTGCGCCTGGTTTTGCCGTCTCCCTGCGAGTAGCACAGAAGGGTTCCATTTCACAAAGATTTAATCAAATAGGAGGATACAATCGATAAAGGAACATCGCAGACACTCGGCAGGTAACATGATTTCATGTCTCTACGAGTTGTTCTTTTTTTTTCAAACAGAGATTTCGAGTTAAGTATATAACTCACGCAAAAAATTTTAATATTTTCTTGCTTGATAAATTCACCTTAGCCTTTGTATATTGCACATTTCCTTTACTGAAATATTTCTAGAGTTACTTTTTTATGGCTTGTTTGGATGAAATTCTTGTCCAATCCTTGTTTATATGTGAATAGGTTTGTTAGAGATCAGTAATTTTTCTCTTGAAGTATCATTGCCATCTTAAAGTAATTAGTTTCCGTTACTTATTTCTTGGACATTCCATTACGATGCTTATGCCTTGTTATGCTAAAGCTTTGGTATCAGGGCAGACTTGTCTTGCCCTGTTTCCGCTTATAAACTGTTGACTGTGGCTCATCATTATCTGATGCCTCGCTGTGCTGTTGTCCTAAGACAGATAGAACCATGAAGGTTACAACGTGGACCTCGTGGGTTGAAACTTAATCCTTAAACAGTTGAGCTTACATAAACATATATATTATTATCTGGGTAAAGCGAACCGACGCTGTTATGTGCAATAGTGGGATCTCCACACTTTGTAAGTCCAATTAATAAATTCGATAGTGGGCATTCTGGCATTGCTCTAAAAACGATTGTCATTACCTCGCTATAATTTGGAAGACCAACTCAGGTCTTTATCGTTACTTATCTTTACTTGCGTATATTTAAAGATTTAAGCTCATTCATTTGATAAATATAAAGAAAAATTCAACGAGAACTATAAACACTTAGTCTCTGACGGTAAGTCTGTGAAAAATATTTATGTGAATGAACGCCTCTTTTTGCGGCGTAATTGATGTATGACTACCACAGTAAATGAGATTAGATACAGGTTGAAAAATAAATCTAAAATCGTAACAAACAATATCCAAATTGAAAGCTTCTACATCATGAAGAATAAATTAGGGCACGTTGTATACTTTTGATTTGAATACATTAGTCCACAGAACAGGCGTAATTTGTTTGAAAGAAAAAAAAATTATGCTCCCCCTTGGCGTCACCCGCACTTACCTCCGTCCGCTTGGAAAACGCGAAAGATTACGGCTATGAATACATTGATATGACAAACTCATGTGCTTTAACTTTTAATGTGCAAATGTCCTAAAACAAACAATCTTGGAACTGCTACAAATTGACATAGATTGGTTGATAGGTAGTTGTGGGTCAGTCAGTCAATATATGAATCTTTCATGGACTTTCACTCATTGCTCAGTATCACGAATACTTAATGAAAGGTTCCTTCACTGTTTCGCAAACAGCAACGTTAGAAATTTGGAGAAAGTCAATGGGATGTTCTATGTTTGACTCTGTGCATCTTAGCTTGGTTCATATCACGTATTGCAATAACATTACTACAATTTTGTCAATTCAGTTCAGTTCTAAACTTTACGTTGTCTAGTCAGTGTCGCTACTATAAGGGAAATTTCATATTTTTCGATAAACTGATTAATACTGAAATCATCTCAAGAGTGCCCCGTTCAGCTTTGAAATCAGATGGAAACTCTTATAACATATGACGTACTGTTCGCATCCTACAGACTAACTCTTGGATTTATGGGGCTTCGAGTCTCTCTGTCAGTCAACGACACCAAAACATCGCTTCGTTTGGCAAATTTTCGTTTGGCAATTTAATTCGTAAACTTTAACAGAGTTCCTGCCTTCTTTTGACAGTGAGCCACGAGTTACGTAAACCTTTCAGTTGAACATGACACTTTCGCAAACTTCCATGCTATTAGACTGTGTTCTTGCTCATTCCATACTAACACTTTTCAAATTGTTGTCGTAACTTTGTCATTGAGACTTGTCAACCATAAGACCACTTGTCGTTTCAGTACGATAGAAATTTGAAAGGCTTGCCACTCAAACTTAGTGGCGAAATTTTTATACCTGAAAGTGGCTGTGATTCAAAGGTAACGAAGTCGGAATGAAATCTTTATGGAAAGTGAACGGGTAAGTGTCAACACCGACCTGCAGGCCAGCATGTCCGCAGGCTTAAATTAGTTGCTACTTTATCAAAATAACTGTGTACTCATCACTCACGTTTCTTAGACCTTCTTAATGAGAGCTTTACGATGTTCAATATACTCCCTGTGGTAACTGAAATTAAGAGAAGACAAAACTTCATGAATAAAAAGAATAATTCTCGCTTCAATTTATTTACACTTTATTCAAGCAAGCAGATATTTGAGACTCAGGGAAACACTTTTTAGATATCTTGCTAAGGGGCACAAAATTGTAGCAACTCTTGCGAAAGAATGGTGCTTTCCAACAGTGAAGATAATTTAAATTTAGAGTCAGAAAGTTCAAAGAGTGATCAACAGGAAACCAGATTGGAAACTTAGATTTTCGGGTGGTACCGTGTATCTCAAGACAAGTAAACTAATCTCATGGTCTACTACATGTATAGGAATTTAAAATCGTGTAATTATTCCAGAATCTGTTTAGAAATCCTAACCACTGGAAAATCGGGTTAATATGTATAGGTGATTGATCTTGGCAACTATGTCAGTTTAAGCGAGTAAAACTATTATTGATAACCATGACAGCGTGGAGAAACGGTCTAAATTCGCCGCTGTCTAAAATGACAGCTTCCTTTGAAAGACAATAAGAGTTGATATATGACTGGTTGATATGTGGGGGATAGTTACCTGTTGTGCTCAAACAAAACTCTCAAAGAATTCTTTGTCTCTTTCTCACGCAAATCAGCCCCTCGCCCGCCTCTGTGGTAAACAAGGTCGATTTGAACACAGCAGGAATAAACACTCCTGTTCAAAAATATCAACAGGCATTTGCTTATCAAATCTTTCGATAAATTTAATTTTTGAAGTTCAAGGAGATTACGGTTATTAGATATATTTTTGTCATGATGCGCAGGGGTGGTAATAATGTTTAATAATCGACTCTCTACGAGGTCCTGCCTACTTTGGAACAACTCGCGACCAACGGAGCTTGTTCCCGTTTCCGGATTAACCGGCTTGATTCCATGTGCCCTTTTGTTGCCTTTCCGTTTTCTTTCTCTACTATGCTGAACACGCACGATTTTGACGTCACTGCCAAAGTGTTTTTTCGTTTTGTTTCCTGTTGAACCGCAGCCTAACTTTGCAGAGCAGAATTGAACCTTTAGGAAACCCTACTTTTCACGCTATTTTCAGGTTGCAAATTTGGGTCTCTGGTGGAAAACAAACAAACAAACAAACAAAATACAGGCAAAAAGGTAAGGGTTATGGAGACCAGTTGCATGCATGTTTGATCATTTTCAAACTGGGCTACCTTTTTCAAGATGCTTCAAATCGTAACGCTCCTCTTCTTAGCAAGTAGACCAATGGCAACTCCAGTGGAATGAAATAGAAAGAAAATTTTTTAGCTCTGTTGTCCATTTAAAAGAGATGTTCTTCTCGATTCGAGCCGTACAATGAAAAAGTTTCAGGTTCAAGACACTAGTTAAGGAAACCTTTTTTCCAACATTTCTACTGTATGGCGTTTTATGATAGCTAAACTAAGTTGATGTTCATGAAGTGCTTTTCAGAGAGGTCTCTCTATCCTTCGTCTGTTTTCTGTTCATGAGCTAGTCGTAAAAGCTCGTATTTTTTATTAAAGTGGATTTCAATGGGTTTGTGAGTTGGCATTTAGTGGCAATTCGCCATAACAGCTGTATATGATTAGTTCTGGAACATGTGCATGTGAAGTTCACATGCAGTATCTATTTTTCAGTGAGGCCAAATTATGATTGACTAGCGCTTGTCACTTGTGAAACAAGCATAAAGCTGGGGCTTGCCAACAAGTTCTTTGTCCTCTGCAACACATTTGATGAAGCATGCGCATCTAACTTCACAATCGGAACTGGCTGACATTGGAAATCTCATATTGGGATTTCTTTTGTTCCACGCTTCTGACAAATACAGCGGAATATCTTAGGGCCAATAGCATGCAAGAATGCTGGTAGCAGCTCTCTCGACAGGAAAAAGGATACCTTCAAAGACTGGTAACGGTATAGAATGAGCAAGAACACAGTCTAATAGCATGAAAGTTTGCGAAAGTGTCATGTTCAACTGAAAGGTTTACGTAACTCGTGGCTCACTGTCAAAAGAAGGACTTTCTTACAAATAAAGAAAAACCGTCCGTAAAGATAATTTAGCTTTCTAAGAAACTTTGAAGTATAACTTGAGAGAATGATCATAACTATTTAATCAATTAACTAGGGTAGTTCACACTAGGAATACCAACGTCTTGGAAACCTGATAGAGGTAGGGAATACCTGATTCAAATAGAGTACTGAATAGAGTTGAGAAAGTTTTACTAATTGCATAATCATTGAAAGTGAAAGAGCAAAGTGAATAAGCCAAAGACCTCGTTAAAATACTAATTGTTTTACCGTTCCTTCAATCCCAGCTGAAGAGTAAAGGACTGCAAAAAATCCTGCATCTGCTAATTTACACAAAATCTGAAGTAATCTTTGCGACCTCCTTGGCAATCAATATTAATCAAAACTTTTCGTCAAATAGAAGTATGTCTCGTGTTTTGTTCTCACTACGTACAACTTCCGTTCATTTAATACTTCTTTTACTGCTTCAATGTTCTTTCTCAACTTTTTACTGCAATTTGTTGAATGCTTTCAAAGCACTTTTATCAGAAACACGTTAAATCAAAATGGGGATGTTTCCACTTTAAATAAGATATTCTTATCATGCTCTTATTTACAACGATTTTGATGACTTCTTTCAGAGTAAATAACGCCTCTCAGTGCTTCACTGCGCAGTGGCAGCAAGTTCAAGTTGTCCTCCGGTCATTGACAGTCGATGGTAGTTTGTTCCCATTCCGCACTCTGTTATCAACTTCTGGGCCTGGAAACAGTAAAGAAAAGAGAAGAAAAGTGTTAATGTGAAAGCAAAGGCCGTCTTAAGGATCCACCAACTAGCCTGTGGAGTTCAACAGGAAACGCTTGAGTAATGAGACGGGTATTTGTTTTTGGAAGGAGTGCTTCTCCTTCGCAGTCAGCCTCAGACCACAAAAAATAGCAATTCTGGCCGATTTCTCAGTCGGTTGCCATAATTACTCATAATACTTACGTCTATTGGTCAGCTTGTGTGAGTTATACAAGTTGTTGGTACCCTAAATGAACAATTTTTAAGTGTGTGCTAAAGGTATTTGAGAATTGTATCGTTTTGCTCTACCCCAACTCATGATTGAAAAATTGCGCCACCCTCTCGACCAATCAGATGTAAAACTAAAAGCAATTGAAAATTTGTGTTAAAAGTTATGCTAGCCCGCGCTTCAGACAGTCTGTTTGTCTTTCTTTGATTCTAGTTTAATCACACTCTTTCGAAAAGATTGATTGATTGATGATTGTCACCTGGGAGTCCCTCAATAAGCGGGACACTTCTTTCTAAACTTTCTACTTACTAGGAGCCCTCCTATTACTATCTACATCTTACCGCTGCCTAACTTCATCCTCCCTCACCCCAGTCTCCATTACGCTGTCCCCGTTCATTCCATTGGAATCGTAATGATCATCTCCAGAGTCAGCGTCGCCGTTCAGTGCTACGATTGGTCCGTCTTCTGGAGGCTCTAGCTTCACTTGTACTTGGGACTGAGACAATTGGCTGCTGTAAAAAAATAAAATCAATCACTCAATCAAAAAAAGTAAAAAGATTTAGGAGAAAATTCGTCATGAACTCGTGTATTCCTTACTCCATAAGCACAACTAATGTATCTAATTTCTGAAAGCAATCGAATAGAATTGGATAAAATCAAGAAATTAATCTATAAAAGACATCTTAATAGGTTTGAAAGCCCACAAATGCTAACGTCCTGGTTTTATCAGCAAGGAGAGATTTTTTCAGGATAATTGTTCTTAATCCCCGGCTTAACTATCGTTTATTAGCCTTTTAAAATCATTTGGAATTTCCCATTTACAATCCTGGCAGTAAAGGTCAACTAATAACCCCTTTACAAGCAAATAGAAGATGACATGAGCGGCAGATTAAAGATGGGAAGTTTAAATTTTGCCAATTCAACACTTCTTCCCGGAAATCCCTACCTTTACCGATTTGAGGTCAACACAGCAAGCATTAACAGAAATACAACCATATCCTGGTTCTTACTTGATGTCTTTAGAGCAAAACTCTACGAGTTTTGTGATGCCACCGACCACGCCCTCCACTTCCTCTCCATCCCTTATATCCGCGCGTTTCTGAGGAGGCATTTCATCACCGGTGTCTGAATCCGATCCTCTTTTACGACTATCTTCTTGACTGGAGCCTTCATCCTCGCTGGCATTATTGGAACCAGATGGACCCACGGGAAGCAAGTTGACTTGTGTGGGGAGTCCCCCTAGGGCACCCTGTTGCATCATCCGGTCTCGCTCCTGTTTCATCATTCTGCTGTTGTGGGAAATGTTCAGTAAAATTGTTCAAGATTGTCATTAATAATCCGTTATTTTCTTTTCTATCCTCAACCATTTTTCATCTCGAGTTTATTCTTACAACTATCTTTATGGATCGCAAAATATTTTTTAAGCTTTCTGAATGAAATTTTGAGGGTAAAATTACCTTCAGAGTTGTTAAGTAGTTCCCTTAAAGTCAAGTACTCAAAAAGATAAATGTTGTATAGTTGTTTATGACACACTGCGTTGTATGCCAAACAAAAATGTAGCTTTCTTTATAACATAAATAACAAAATCAACTACAATTTGCAGTCGTTTTGCAAGTTAAATTTAGCTGAAAACCTCATCTCATCTCCAGAAATGTGGACGACTTCAGAGTCTTTAGGGTAGTCAGAAACAACTCCGTGTGATATGTTAGTGAATTAGATGGATATATTGCCCTATGTTCATCGCTATTTATATCAAATCAATATAAAAAATACACTTACGAGGTGCTATGAATGACTTTGGACTGTGGCCGCCGTTTCATGTATTCATCTTCATCCACAATCCACACGGCTCCTTTTACGTTCTCTCTTCTCATGAAGCATTTGTGAAGGGACAAGTTATGACGGACTGCGTTCTGTTGATGTATCACGTGTCAGTTTGAGTAAGAAAACACGCCTATTTGCACAATTTTTAGCCTGCAGCTGGTATCAAATATCCCCATACAGTTTTCATAGAGTGTGAAGCATTGCAATAGAGAGTGAAAGTCACACCCCAAAATGTGGTTGTCAAAATGATGCAGCATTTTACGTTAACAAAGTATATTACTGAAGCTTCGACGACTGAAAGAATTACTGAAGGCAGCAAGTCTACAGGAATTAAGGCATCGCCAGGTTTGGGAGGCAGCGGGGCTGATAGGGGGCGACCGAAACTTTCGTCAAATATGTTGAGATCTTTCTCGCCAACGGACATGAATATTTTTGCACATTCTACTGAAATTAAGTAAAGGTTACAGCCTTCGTCAGGTTCTTGTGACATGTCAAGTTTTTCCTTTTTTAAAGAAAACTTTAAAAAAAGGGTTTGAAGGTGAAACCTACCTTCCATGTGGCAGCGTTCCTCCGGAAGTAAGCAAACTTGTGAATGAACCAGGAGTAGATTTCATTCAATGTAAGTTGCTGTTCGGGAGCGTCTAAAATGGCCTATGGTAAGAAAAGTGAAGCGGTCAATATCTTAATTCTTCTTACAGCAGGGAACACTTTATTTATACAACCCTTACATGTAACTGCCAATATATGAAAGTAAATTTCCTCCATGTATATCGGTAATTTTTATTGGCTTCTCTTAAGGATTTGGTGTCAAATCCAAACAATAACGCACGACTGAACAGGATAATTAACAAATTCTCATTACCTGTCTGATTTGCTGAGCATTGAATTGAAGGGAAAATTTATGTAATTATAGGCCCTTAATTAGACATTCGTAGCTGAAATAAATTCACAAAATAATCTAGGCATACCACTAGAGTCCAAAATTCACTTCATGAGAATTTGGGTTTAGTATTTTTTGTCTTAAATGTTGCTACTTATAGTTATCTCGTTGTGGCAATAGCTACAATTTACCTGTCTTATCAATGACGCATACGTGAACGGGGGTCTTACATCTGCCTTCTGATAGAAATCCGCTGATCGCTGAATATCTAGGAAACAAAAAGGTCAGCATACATTTCACGAACTCATGGACCATTGACGGTAGATTATGAGATTTTCAACCCTTTTTCTTAACAAAACAACTGTTTCCCTCGCTCTTTTACGACATGGAATATCAAAAGCCAGTTCGGCGCTAGGAAATTCGTTGACAAAGAATGACAGAACAGAGCTTTCCTGACGACCAATGATTAGCAAACGGAGACTTTGCAAACGAACTTACCCAAGGCTATTCCGTCAGGATCTCCAGTTCTTTTCTTCATGCGAATTTGTTTATCTTCCAGCATGTGAATAGTTGGTGTCTGTACAACAGAGAGGTCACTTGGACTGGTCATTTCATGCACTGCTGCCATGTTGGGTGGCGGGCTCAGAGGATGACTTCCCATCGTTGGTGGGCTTTCCGGTGACATAGGAATCTCCTGTCTACCCTGAAGGGTAGGAGAATGCTCCGCCGGCGGAGTATCTTCTAGGGACGTCATGTGAGGATGCTGAGGAGGGGGTGGGTGAGTGACATGAAGCAGAGTTTGAGCTTGGGAGTGAGGCACTTGTTGGTGACTCTCTTCTTCCAGATCTGAGTTTGTGTTTGGAGTGTGTTGGGTGACCTATGATGGCATACGCATTTACTCAGTAAAGGGCTCGGCTGACGAGAGTCCGAGAGTGTATATGACCTCCTACACGCTTCTATCTGGTATGAAAGAGTGTGTTTATTTACACAGATACATCACCCTGGCATTCTTCACATGACGCTAGTTAAAATTCCCATATATGTTTCAAATATTTTACCCTAGCTAATAAATCAGGACCTGCCACAAATTTCGAAAAACTGACGCTCGAGCTTCATTGCTCAGTTTTCGTCGGAGCAGTGTCCAAAGATTTATGCTCATTTGACCTTACCAACCTGAGTCAACTAAGTGTTTGAGTTGCTTGTTGACAGTGTACCAAAGTAACACTTTCAGTTTCTTTAGATTCCAAAAATATTACTTTCAGTATTTAGAATGAATATAAAAGGTTTCTAATAACAGTAACCGCTCTCTAAGGTCACTTCGTGTTTTGTCTTGCCTTGCAAACTTGACAGAAATTGAAGAAAATAAAGGAATTAAAGAAGAAGAAGAACAAAAAGAAGAACAACAACATCAACAAAAAGAAGAAGAAGAACAACAACAACAAGAACGAAGAGAAGAAGAAGAAAAAGAAGAAGAAGAAGAAGAAAAAGAAGAAGAAAAAGAAGAAGAAAAAGAAGAAGAAAGAAAAGAAGAAGGAAAAGAAGAAGAAAGAAAAGAAGAAGGAAAAGAAGAAGAAGAAGAAGAAAAAGGAGAAGAAGGAAAAGAAGAAGAAAAAAAGAAGAAGAAAGAAAATAAGAAGGAAAAGAAGAAGAAGAAAAAGAAGAAAAAGAAGGAGATGAAGGAAAAGAAGGAGAAGGAAAAGAAGGAGAAGAAGGAAAAGAAGGAGAAGGAAAAGAAGAAGAAGAAGAAAAAAAGGAGAAGGAAAAGAAGGAGAAGAAGGAAAAGAAGGAGAAGGAAAAAAAGAAGAAGAAGAAAAAGAAGGAGAAGAAGGAAAAGAAAAAGAAGGAAAAGAAGAAGAAGAAGAAGAAGAAAAAGGAGAAGAAGAAGAAGAAAAAGAACAAAAAGAAAAAGAAGGAAAAGAAGAACAAAAAGAAGACGAAAAGAAGAATGAAAAGAAGAAGGAAAGGAAGAAGAAGAAAAAGAAGAAGAAGAACAAGAGGATGAAGAACAAGAAGAAGAAGAAAAAAAAGAACAAAAAGAAGAAAAAGAAGAATAAAAAGAAGAACAACAACAAAAAGAAAAGAACAAGAACAAGAACAAGAAAAAAAGAAGAAGAAGAAAAAGAAGATTAAGAAATAACAAATGAATGTCTCTATCTCTTCAAGTCAAAACAATCTCTCTCAACCTTTGTTCATTGAGCCACCACGTATTAGGAAAACCATAAGCTAAATCTTTCGCAATCTAACTTTGCGGAATGACGTTAAGCCCTTTTTTAGTTTTACTCCAAAGAAAAATAGAGCTAATAGTTGTACCTTGGGAGTATGTAAATGGTTCATCATCGCTGACAACCTCTCACGTTCTTTGTTCATCTGCAATAAATATTTGAAACTGCAGCTAAGTTTGCAATTGCCAGGCCAGACTACTGGGCAGTTAAAGGTAATAATAGGTCACATTCCTACCTTAGCTACCTACGTTTATATAAAGCAAGCGAAAAAAAGTCTCAGTGAATACAATCACGTGCACTGCTTTAAATTTGATTAAAAAAAACACTAAATAACTGTGAACTGTTTGACCGTTAGTTTGATGTATGGCAGCATCATTGTTTGTTTAACAAGGTACAATTAATTTAACTTTGAACAAAGAGAATGCTGTTCATTTGCATTTTTTTGGCTTCCTAATGCTTAATCCTTAAATCACAAGTGACTGATGACGTAATTATCATTAGAGTGGTGTTGAATACCTGAAATTCCAGATGCATCACAACTTGCATCTGTACCCGAGCCTGAGCTGTGCTCCTTTCATCTAAGGCGTGGTCAGCATTAAGGTGACTGCAATTCATAAAAAAAAAAACCTTCCGCGTCACTTTTTCTAACAAATGTTTCCTTTTTAATTGATTTTATTCGAATCAACTGATGGAATCAATATGTTATCATCTCTTGTGTATAAAAAATTGAAAAAAAATCATACTTTTTACCAACATGAAGATACATTTAAAAGATCATAAATAAATTAATTCAACAACAGATAGATAAGGCACATGTAAGATATTATTAACATGCAATGAAACCATCAGAAATATTAGACTTACTGCAAAAACTGTTGGAAATTCTCACAAAAAGCTTCACAACCTGGCCACTGGCAGATGTTGCGATGAAACAGTGGGTGGTGCTGAGCTGTTAAATGAAACAATCAAGACATTTATTTAAATGAAACTTTTCTGTATAAGAAAATAGCCCTTAAGTTGAACTGACCAATTCAAAGCTAAAAAAAGTGGCAGCAAATTGTATATACAATGTATGACATCAAGTCTCCAGTTCCTGAATAGTAAAGCAGTAGATTACACTCTCTATCAGTTTATCAGGGTAATAACCCACTTGGGATGTTGGGAGAACAGTAAAAAGTTTGTTGTACAGTAACTTTATAAATCAGTTCACATGTTTTAAGTGAACTCAAAAGTTTTTTGAAGTCTTCTACTGGTTGTTGAATAAGATTAATATTCCTTTTCACTTTGAACGTTAACCATAGCACTATCACGTAATGAGTCATATTTGATTATTTTTCAACTTTATCACTTATGATTTATTTGTAAACATAGTTTACCTGGTTGGGATTCACCAATAAATGAGTTGGCACTTGCCCTGCATTGGGTGAAAGAGAAAGCAGATAAGTATGATTGGCCTTGCAGTAAGAGCCTTTAAAATGTAATACTGTAATCTTTCTCTATGAAAGATAGTTAGTCTAATGGTATCATACATTTTTATGCATGCTGATAGCTTTTCTTTCTTTCTACCATGAAGTTTGAAATTAAAATTTTAGTGAGCAGTATGAAGGCAATTCTATAAAATTCTGATGATGAAATATTATAATCTCTAACTGCAATGTTATAATTGTACAGTACACATTGTCTTTCACTCAAAAGTCACTGATACTTACCATTAGTAACCTTTTAAATCCTGATATCAGTGTGTATATTCTCCACACTGTTCTCTACATGTTTTTGATGATAATGAAAAGGAGAATTTGCTCAACACTCAATAACTTCTCATGCAAATGATCATTTCCTCCCTTCTCATGACCTAACTGTTTGATTCAATGGCAAAAATGTCAGGAGAAATTAGACTATGGTAACCCTTAGGGGTTAAAGGGATGATCAATTTAATATTAATTGTGAAATATTATAAAATATAAACTCACACAGATCCATCTGATGGTTGGGGTCGTCCACCTGTAGCAGGAGAAAGAAGTTACATAATTCTCAAGTATTCATTCACAATTCACTGCAAAGGGAGAGGGAAAGGGGTTGATCGGAATAGTGCCTGACAAAGTGTGTTAAGGGAATGCTACACACTGAGGTCCATACTGCATCTATTACTCTTACCCTTGGGTCAATCAAACCATATCCTTTGCACTGAAAATGTGCACACTACACAATACAGCATACATGTACATTAAATGTAGAATGTCAAAACTCTAACAGATAAAACCTCCAGTTGTAGTATAGATCATACAAAAGAATAAAAAGTTTCTAAAATTACACTTGATCTTGACCCTCTGAGTATTACTCAGTCATTCAACTGTAACAGATCCTCTTAATTTTACAAATGACAGAGTTTCCTCGTCCTTTTCTATAGGGTACCTGAAATCAGCTCAAGAAACCCTTCTTTAATTGTACATGTACAACATGTTTGAAGAAGCATATGCACTTTCTTACCAACAGGACCACTCAAGAAAATATTTTTCTATAAGCTTTCTGTCAATACAATTTCGTGGGATGTGTTTGACATATAATACATATTACTACAACAATTAATTCTTTGCACTAAATTCTAGATTGGTGTAATTGGGTTTTAGTGCTCTATTAAGTATAAGCAGATACTAAATTTTAAGAACAGAAATGGTGACTTACCAAAGTTTGACAAATGGGGATCTCCTAGACCTTTCCATTTCCCATCAAAATAGGGGCGGAGTTCCTGCTCAAGAATTGCCTATGGAAAAAATGAAGGAGTTGCGTCCAATGAGTCATATAAACATCAAATTTTGGGTGACAAGTTAGATATTTCTGATATAAGTTGTCACCAGGTATAAGCCTATAACTGTACAATTTGTATTCTATAATGGCCTTGTTAACCATCAAGTTCACTTTAGTTCAGTGCTAGCACATTGCAGTATAAAATGCAAAGTTTTAGGTTCATCTCCTTGTGGAGAGTCAAATTTATTCTTTTCCTCACACTTGCAAAAAACAAATTACACTCTCCTTTGACCCTTTCCACCCTAACGTCAGTATGCATATTCTCCATACTGTTCTTTATACATTTCTTGAAGGTGCTGATAAGGAGAATATGTTTCACAATCAGAAGCTTTTCAACTTGGTGATCTTGTATTCTTGCGACCTTAATGTTTGAATCAAGGCTGATATTATAAGGAGAAATTAGAAACTAGTCACTCTTAGGGGTCAGAGGGTTATGTAAGGAATTTATTCCATCCAAAATGCCAAACCACCTAAAGCTTTGTTTCTTCTCTCTGTGTGAAATATTAACTCTGAAAAAAAACATTGTTGAAATTGGTTCTTTCTAAATGTAAACCTGATTTGTTACATGTAATTGTAAAAGTTCTAGATGATAATTTTGATCTAGCACTGGAATCTTAGTCTGTTCAAATAAAAAAACCACAATTTTTAAAAATAAGCAAACTACAATTTAAATGAACATATAGAAGTAAATAAATCTGTAGATTTACCTGAATCTAATGAAATAAGTATTGTGATACCATGTTTACCTGATGTTGTTGCATATGCTGAGGCTGAACAGGTCTAAGCAGTAAAGGTGGTGGATGTGCCATGACTGTAACAGGTCTTGGTGGAGTCTGTTGATGAGGAAAATGAAAATGTCCATCAACATATCCTGGTTGACAGCCACAGTGAGCGTGATCCATGAATGGAGCCTGCTGGGGATGACAATTGGCTGGTGAGTACACATGATGGGTATGTGGTCCAGGGGGACAGCTTGAGCAGTAGTGTACTCCTCCATGCTTGGGTGTGGCTTTGGTGTCTTGGGTTGGGGAACTGGATGCATCAATCATGACATTTGCTACAGCTGGCGTGACATGCTGGTAGACCATTCCTGGGACATGTACTTCACGGCTACAGCAGCAGTTTTGAGAAGAGCATGTAATGTGTTTGCTTTGTTGCATGAGTTTGTGAGAAGTATGTGTTCCACATGCACAGTTGGATGTGCTGCAGGGTTCATGAGCTCCTTTACCATTAACATCCACATTTATAGTTTTTGTTGGACTTTTTACTGGTGATGATACTCTCACCTGTGAACCAAAAAAATCTTAGCTGAAAATTTTTCTGCTCTCTTATGCTAAAAAGGAAAAATGACATAGCTTTGAATATTTTCAGTCAGAATTTACTGGACAAAGAATAGAGAAATATTGAGATTTGACAGTGACAAACATATCAATAGCAATCTTTACCAAAGCCAAAAGCTAAGGTAAAATAAGTCATTGATCCACAAGACCCTGACAAAACACTACAATTAGCAATTACCAAGTGAAATGGCAATTTTTGCCATGTCAATAAATAACGCAAATTTTCACATTTTTTTTTGGGTTTGAGATTGACTCTGTGACAAACTGCCTTTTTCCACAAGAAAAAAATCAGCTGGGATGTAACCAAGCATAAACAGAATACCATTTATATCTTTAAAGGTAAGCAAAAATATTCTTTGTGGGGTGGTTATCTGCACACTGTAGAATCTTGGCAAATATAAAAGGAAAAAAAATCATTGAATGATGATGGACACTTATTGAACTTTGAGGAGATAATATATGATAGAGGGAATGAGGAAGTCATTGTAGGTAGGAAAACAAGAGATTCACAACTGGGGAGTTTATTCATCTCATTTGATAAAATTGCTGCCTGTTTGCCTGGAGTAAAAGCCTATTAATTTATTTGATATGAGCTTCATTTCAGTCAAAGTGTAACCAGCGTGAGCAGTTCTTTGAGACTCTCACTCTAGACTCGCGAGAGTTCGCGTGAGTCGTGTAATTTGACACTAGCGACAGGGGTAGGGACAGTGGCTTAGAACCTACAGCTTAAAAATCACGCACAGGGGCAGAAAAGAAATCGTACACTGTTTCAAAAATATGCCACAGTCTTTGGAGTCATAAATGATTCCGTTCTTTGACAACGAAGCCTTTTTTTATATTAACCTTGCCTTTCTAACAGGACAATCTTAAGAATTGTTCCGGTACGTACATGTGTTCACTGAAACGATTAATATCATGCCCTACACGTTTCAGGTTTATCATGTGAAATCTTACGCTCAATCGTATTATGTCGTTGAATGAAAGCTAGCAGTGAGTTTATTACAAAAAATATCTTACACTGACTCCCCTGGACGTGCTGGACGCAACAACAGTGCCGTCGTTTTCGTTTGATTTTGCTGCCATGGTTCAGTGAACCTTTAGAACACGGAAGGTGGATATTAATTAGAGTCCGTTTACTCTTTGATGCTTTGAAACGCAGACGAACTTCGCGGCTGTTAAAAAAAGCAGAAAGACAAGTTAACATATTTTCTAGCCTACGCGTGGTCAACATTTTTCTCAAACAAACCCGAAATTAGAATCAAATCTCAAGTAAAGTTTATCCATGAAGTATTCAGGCAGTCGAAAAGCGCGCGGCGACCCAAGCCGGAAATTTAATGCAGATTTCAATTTTATTACGGCTCCTGAAAAACTTGTCGAACTTTTCGCCATTGAGTATGATTCTAACTCCCAATAACGATAAGTTTTTCTTTACAACAAAAGCAGTCGAGTCCTCGAACTTGAGGAAAAGAAAACCGCGCTGATCGATTCATATGCCATATGGGCAAGATTTGAATAAATTTATTTGAGTCAATAACGAGAACAGTTCCGTGAATAGGAAAATATCTTTGGTAAAGTACAGAAAACTAGCGAAAGAGTTCAACAGAGATTTAAGGATAGTCTCCATGATTGATGTAACTTACGTTATCTGAGAAAATGTTCACCAAAACCTTACTATTCTCGAGTCGCCACGCCATAAACAACAACAAAAGAGTCCTTCGTGTAAACAACAATAAAAATGGCAATTTCACTTGCGATTGCGAGATATCAAACACCAGGAAATCGCTTAAAAGGTCTTCTAAATTCCATTTGAACATTTGCTGTTTTTGTCGAGATTCCAGTGCATTGTGATTTTTCTGAAATTAGAAATCTAACTAAGATAAACATTCAGTAGCTTGTTGATGGTGAGAAGCAAGCACGCGCTTACCTTTGTAATGCCGCGGCGACAGAAATATCAATGAATGAACGAAGTCACATCAGTTGTCTGACTGCCTGCAAGCACTCCAAGGTAACAAGGCCTTTTCCTTCAATTTTAAGTAAAATTAGATGAAATTCTCTCAGTGAGATCGCGTTAAATTACGGCGTAGTATATTGTTAATTTTAGCCTGCTAAACAATTCTGTCGCGTTTGTTGTTGATGAATTTACTTTTAGCCCAAACAAAGCCTCGCTTTGCAGCGTGACGTCACGTAATTGGCACCCGTAAATAAAAACAAAAATAAACAGAGAAATGGAAAACAATAGGACTCCCACGCTGGAAATCTACTTTTAGCCATCTAAACAATCCAGTTCTTTGTGAGAAAATGTAACTAGACTTGACTTAAAATAACCGCTGGTAACTGAATGATCGCAAACAGATTCTAAAAAATATGTTAAAATTAGCATTTGGTTTTGCATGTTAATCTTGTCAAATGAAAAAGGTGTTTTTGTTTCTAACCTGTAATGTTTTCGCTTGTATAGTTTCGATCGAGAAGCATTTTCTCCTAAGTCACCACGCAGACAACACACGACCTTGGGCAAAGAAATCGCTGTCAAGAAGGACAAGATATCTCATTTGAAACGATTGTGATTGGCTGGTTTTAAGACACTGACTGAAAGGCTCTAGTTTTAGCAAACATAGAGATTATTGTTTTTCCAGATTATCAAAACCTTCCAGCTGAATTTGCCATCAGCTCTAGCTATTTTGACATATGAAACAACACGTGTTCGCGATATAAAAGAATTCTCTTTGAATCCCCCGAGAAAAATCAACAGTTACAAAAGACGATAAAATTTTCTGGCGGCGCAAACATATGTACTGTAATAATTCGGAAGTGGCGCTGGGCTATGTTACATGCGATCTAAATCAAATCTCGTAGCATATCGCATCTTGTTTATCCAAGCTTGTCTGGCCAGTTTCTATAAGAAAGAGATGAATGCGCTACTATATTTATCAGATAGCTTTTGTTTTCTATAGTTTGTTTGTTATTCTCGACTACAGAATGCAAATTACACCGAAGGGCTGAGGCGTATTACTTTCTTTAGGCTCTCGGATGCAACTCGCTAACAACAATTTATGGAAATATTTTTGGCTGCTTCAATAGGCCAGAAATTTTTTTGCCACTTTCTGGTTAAAAATTTCGTCAAAAGGAAAACTGCAGTGTTAGCGTCATTACAGACACAAAAATCGAACAGACAAATAATTCACCGTGACCTTGAAGACAGATAGTATCACAATTGTTTTCTTCCCACACACAAACAAAGTAACACAGCATGTGGCATTTTGAAATCTTTAGACAATTTCCATAATTGTACGCCGACTAAATGTATTAAAGCTGTGTCCTGTCGCTTTCCCATTGTATGGGTACTTCTCTTTTTAAAATCGACCATCGTTCCCCCAAGAAGCTCCGTTTCGCACAATACGATAATCAATCAATTTCAACCACATATTTTTTAAGCCACCTCTCTTCGAGGGGACATGAATTATTTGTAATTTCTTTCAAGCGTTGTCAGTGTCTGTTGTTTATTTTTGGCTAGCCGACGCCCTGTGTTCCTGCCACGTTTGGCCTGAATTACATAACAAAATGTAACGAGGCGGCAAGACCCTTTTCATAAGACGGTAAAAATCCATTGAAACATGTACTTCCGGGTTTAAAATGCTTAGGACTTTTTGCACACAAAACAGGAACTTTAAATTCAAGATGTATAGCATTTTTCTTCCTACCATTATAAAGCGTGGTCGTTTCTTTCAGGGAGTTGTGACTAAAATTAATTTGTACATGGTAATATTTAGATCGGAAATAAAAAAAAGATTACAAGGTGGCGAAGTGTCACGCAGCTATTGGCCCAGAGAGTAGAATTAATGAACAAAATATATATTGCGTGCATAGCCAGCTAGATGTTGTTATATTCTAAGTATTGTTATGTTTTTAAGTGGGTTCAATGGCGCCGGAGGTCTAAATCAACCCTATTTTGTTATTTTCGATCACCACGTGTCAAGAATGGACTGAACACTTTGACTATTATTTTTATCCAATCAGAAAAAATAAACCACCTTTGGCTTCTTTGTTTATGATTCGTTTTCGCAATGGTTTGCTAACAAATATAACTGCGCGTGCGCCTCTATGTTACCTTGGATTGGTGACGACTGTCAATTATGAATTAAGTGGTTTTTTTTTTGGTATGTCACGCGACAAGCTGCCAGGGTAATAAAACATTAGAAAATGAACAGGGTTGGGTAAGCATCGAGAAATAACCAAACTCGTCATTGCATATTTCTCCCACACCAAATAGACGCCAGAAATGATATTTCCGTGGAATATGAAGAATTCAATAAGATAGAAGTGGTTTAAATTTTTTTTGCTCAATTAATGAAACTGAAAAGTAGTTTCCCCCAAAAATTCTTGTATTACCCATTAAAAATTATTTAGTAGGTAAGTGTGTCTGAGTTGATCAGACATTTGATCACCTTTTAGAACTTAATGGTTTCGGTCAGGTGTCACATTTATTACGATGGTTGTGAAAAGCACGTGACTTTTACACAAGGAACAGTTCCGTTTTTTGTTGAATGCACCGAATTCGCGAAAATACACCAGAGGTCATTTGGATATTATGACTCAGAACGCAAATAAAACTCCTATTTTAAATACGTTATGCTTCTCTGAATTGCAGCAAAAGTCAAGAAAATGCCTTCCATCTGGATGCTTCACATTGCGAAGGCATCTAAAGATTTTAATCTGATATTTTCCGCTTTCGCGTGTAGTGCAGTATATATTGCTCTACCCAATATACGTGGGTAGGGCAGTATGCACTGCCCTATCCACTGTGTTCATGAAAGAGTGAGTGAGTGAGTGAGTGAGTGACTGTTCGCAATACACAGGTCCGCAGCGCGTGCATAATTCATATTGTTGTAACGAGGACATGAAATAATCAGGCGTTTATTTACTTCTTTCAGTTAATGGTTTGAAAAGAAATATGGATCATTTATGTTAGAGTAATTGTTCTGCTACAGCCATATCTTCATTCTTTTCCTCGCCTTTCCCTGAATCCATCATGCTTTGAAGAAGTTCTTCCCAGTTTTCTTTCGATGCTTCTGTGGGGATAAAAAAGTGAGGATGATCATTAAAATATGTAAGTAACTCCCGAGTAACCCTCAGTAAAATACAACGTGGAACTATGCACTTACATGACAGGACGGAAAACGCGTGGACTGTAAGTACCTCCCGTTGTCCCATACAAAGCCTTAGAAAACTTTTCTAAGGCTTTGTATGGAACAACGGGAGGTACTTACAGTGCATGCGTTATCCGTCCTGTCATGCTATTTGGTTCAGTTTAAAACACTACACCAGCTACTTCGCAGGCATGGAGTACGGTTTTCTGTAGCGTGCACGGAAAAGTTTGTCTCCGTTTACAAAAATTCTTATAGATAATAATTGAAATGTTGAAGTGCAGAATTATAATAAGGCAGAACTTTCCTTATCTATTCAGCTTTAACTAAATCACAGGGGATTTCTCTGAACTTTGCTGCCACGTATCCATGACTTGTTGAGGGCGTGGTGCGAGTTTTCAGAACCAATCACAGTGAAGTAAAAAAAATAAATGCAATCCCGGTTTGTTTTCGGTAGCCAAATGAAAATTAACAATACAGAATTGAAATCCTCAGTTGCCAAGTTTGGATTAACACTTCTCCTTTCGAGCTACTATAAACCTCTTTGCTTATTATTAAAGAGAATTTGCGTCAAATTAGAGAATTTGCGTCAAATTAATTTGGATAACACACTCTATCTGTTGCTGAATAATGAACTTAAAACGTATGATTCTTTTGCATTAAATCATTAATTTAAGTTAGATTACACCCTACTTAAAAGCTTTTTTCCCCCTGATTTAATTCTCGTTTTAAATGATGATATCATTTTTATCTTACCGCTAATAAATTTCAACAGGCAGCCATATTCATGGATCACGTCTTTTTGCACCGAAGCTAATCTCAGGACCAACTGCTTTGGCCTGGCTCGAATTCCAAGTTTTTGGAGAAAGTCACAATCATCCTTGGTTAGTGGTTTGCCGAATGGTAACAGCTTTGAGTCACTTGTCAAAATCTGTTCAAACTGATGAAGGACATTGTAAAGTTCAATGCCGTAGCGTGGGGAGGGGCCGGGGGGGCCCGGGCCCCCCCAATAATCTCTATAATTAGTAAGTTGTAGTTTAATAGTTTCTCACACTACTGTGAATGACGGCCAGAAATTCTATTTCAGAGACCCACGATATAAAAATTTCCCGGAGGAGCATTCCCCCGGACTCCCTAAAACTTCGTGACTTTGGCGCTCGTGGTAGGCCCCCCCAATAATTTTAACCCTGCTACGGCACTGAAGTTGGAGTCTGCAGTGGAAGCACGTTGCTATGACGGCAGCTCATCCCATTTCAGTCTATCGTCAGGTACTTCCCTCCCCTCCCCTTCCCTCCCCTTCCCTCCCATCCCCTTCCCTCCCCGAAAATCGTCAATTTTTCCTCAAATGAGACCTTCACCGTCAAGAAACGTTGTTAAAATATCCACACTTAAAAAAATCATTATTAGAGATAAAATTTGTTGGTATAGAAGGGATATGGTATTTCGTAGCAGGAAAAATCCAGATAGATTCGGCTATTCTGAACCTGTAATTTTGTGTCACAGCTGCCACTATAATCTGCAAGACCCCGTGTCAGTTGAGTGGAAGAGTTGAGTGTCTTACTGAGTTAATTTTATTCACTCGGATAGTATGACGCAGATAGTATGGCGCGTTATTTTAAGAGTTAGTAATGGAATGTAGGGCGTTATCAGAACTTACCCAATTTAAATACGTAAATATCTGTGTTTTCAGCTGAGTACCATTTTCTGCAGTGATCAGAAGTTTTCTGACATCTTCTACTTTTTCATTATCTTTCTCTGTTAGGAAAATCCCACCTGAATTTGTGAAAATTAAATAATAAGAAAGACCTGAAAGAAATTGATGTATGTTCTGCTCGTTTAACTTAGAGATACTTAAGATTTTAGACTCTCGAGAATTTACTCTGGTTTATGCCCATCATTTAACAATTTAACCTCGAGCAACTCTTATGCATCTTTCGTCCTCTCCAAACTTCCCGCGTGCTTCATATCTCGATGAAAGCACGCTGACGCATGAACCAATTGTTTTATAACATTTTCAACCCGATGGAAAATTTTTTTCTAGAGGGATTTGTTTACTGACGTCATGAGCGTACACAATAGGAATATGAAGCACGCTCGCGCAATTGAATTTGATTAGAAGAATTTACTAGCTATGTTATAAATCACCATCTTCCATTCTTGTAGTCTGCATAAACAACACACTCACAGATTTAGTACTCTCACCTGCTCTGGCTGGTACTCTGTTACCCAGACCGTTAGGAGTAGATCATTTTGTAACTGACTTAGGTCTCTCATGGCCCTCCCGCGCGGGATTCTTCCCTAGATCCGCCATATGTTTATCAATTTCACGATTTCTTTCCAGTCTTATAAGAGAACTACATCACAATCCAGAAAGTCTTAAATTAACCAAACCAGAACAATACCTGGACTTAAACTTTCTTCCATTTCTAAATGCAACGCTGCTTGTTCGTCTGATATGACATCTTCGCGTCCACCACCACTCCGAAAGGATTTGCCAACAAACACGCCATCTTGAATCTGTAACCTTTTCCCTTCCTTGTTATAGGCTACGCGACAAAATTTAAAGAGAAAAGGCGCCCGAGACTGCCTTCGTACCATTGGCGGAAGGTAAGACTGGTTTGTAACGCTTCCTTTTACTAAGGAATCTTTCCCTAATAACCAGGCTAGCTTGGAGGGTGTGTGGACATCTCCTGAAATTGTTGCCTGAAAGAGGAAAATTTGAAATAATGCCAGGTAGAATGAGACCTCGATATCGCAATGTACTATTGAAATGAGTTTACATGCATCAGTAGTTTTTCTCATCTTTGTATTCGAGTGTATCCTGTCGTTCGTAACTGACCATCATAAACATGGTACTAGCAGTTTGTTGAATTCGTGAGTGGGCCGCTCGCTTTAATAAAGGTTTTTTTTAGAGGTATTTGTACTCGCTAAAATCAGCCACTTTCCACGAAGATTGTCCCACCTCGAACATCCTTAATCTAAGAGTAGATTCCTACCTTATTGGCAATATTCTGAGAATCCTTTTCAGATTACGTTGTTTTCTTTAAGTAAAATAAATTCTGCTTTTGAGTGCAATGCGTGGCCGCTAGCTAGAGCTTATCGAAGCAATTTGGGGTATTATTACAACCTCTGGGAGGCTTGCTGGTTATCCCCCCCTCTCCATGAATTTCGTGACGTTTCACCGACGGTTTGTCGTCGTCCACTTGTACTCGTGAGTGGAGAGTAGCAGTAGAAGAGAGAGTTAAGTCTGTTACTCAAGAACAGAATACAATGACTTATTCCGTACTCGAACCCAGACCTCTCGACGCAGGGTACAGCAAACTAACCATCAGGGCCACCCTGTATGCCATGTTTTACCTTTTGAAAAACCTCTAATAACCAACAAAAGCTTATGAACCGATTCTCTATTGAACGAGAACCTGCACTGATACGAAAAACTATACCTGATGCTTTCGGTTGCCTCTAAGAAAAAACTTGGCGCTATACATCACAGCTGTTACAAGACGCAAATGGTGACCCTCTAATGATGTCATCTTATCAGGATCTAACACAGCGTGTGACAACAATTCGCGCAAATCTACGTCCACGTAATACTCTTCTGTAAGCTTGCCAAGCTCCAGGTCCCCCAGAATGTCGGTTAACTTTAGTTCCAGTCCCCCAGCGTCCAAGCTTTCAAGCGAGATATCAAGATTCCTGTCAATGTATCAGTTATTTTCAGTTCGATGAAAAGTTCACTTAGTACTTAGTGGAGCTGTAAAAATCTTAAAATGTTAGCTTCATTGATCATTCTCAATTTTCTTTTTCGCTTTTCCTCACTCTTCAATCCTCATCATTTTTCCCTTTTCCAATTTCTTTCCCATTTCGCCATACTTATGTCTCATTTTCCATTCCGTAATCTTCACTCTTCATTCCCCATTTCCCACACTCCACACCATATTTTCCACATACCTCTTCCTATTCCACTGTACTTGGTCCTAGATTCCCAGTCCCCAATGACCATTCAAGCTTTACTCTAAACTCAGATTTGCGCGAAAAGGCTCGTAGTTTGTTGCATGACAAGGAATTTTTCCTAAAGGCAAACTTAACATTTTGAGGCGAGAGCAAAGATAAGGCTTGATTTACTGCGTGTCTCAATAACCGTTTATGGCCCCTGTTTAGCGGAAGTGCATAGCACAGTCGGAAACTGAACAAGCCGTATGGGGCATGAGCAGTACTTATAAAGAGTTTATTGAAAGAATGATAACTCTGACCTGCTGACATCACTCGTTTCTGTTTTTTCCAAATTCCTGTTTTCTTTCATAAGTTTTGACCGGCAGTAGTTTTTAAAGTGTTTCTCCTTCTCTTCAGTAAGATATCTGTGCAATCCACCAACAATGACCATTTCTCCTTTACCAAAGGGGCGCTTCCACAACGACCGCTTTCGTTTAACAATCAGCGCAAGTGGCGAGATAATGTTTGTATGGCCGTGATAGACTGGGAGGTAGTCCTTGCCGAAATTTTCTCGAACAAATGCCTTGATAGAATCCTGCGTCATCTAGGAACAAAAATTATTGCAACCCTACATAATTTTTTGATATACTTTGATGATTCTCAAGAGGAATGGTGTAATATTTTCAACCAAAATGTTGCTGTGGGCTGAAAATAGGTCACCAGAATTGTCAGAATGATGGCAAATAATGTATTTTAACTCATGCATGACTTTTAAAGCGTTCTATTAACGTCCTTTGGGTTTAAGATCTTCCTATTAATTGGACTTGAACCCTGACTTTTAAGCTTCCTGTCCGAAAGGCCGTTAGCGATGTATTTAAGGGCAGAGGTAACTTTTTGCGTGGTGATATTTTCTCTGAGGCCAAATTTCATGATCACTCTACAGAGGTAAACAAATTACTAATATAAACCTTTGTAGCGACACTGAAAAAAAAATACAAAATTTACACTTGTCGTGGATAAACACATGATCGTAATTTCAAGACCATGGCCTGGTGGTTGGGAACTATTCTAAACAACTTGCAACATACAAGTTAATTGATGTGAAACTGATCTATCTTCTGACTTTCACTGAACAGTATGACAGCACACCAACATCTACTCAGACAAGTCTTCCCTATTATGAGATTCATTCTATTATGAGATGACGTCATGCATCTTTTTTTCTGTAAGAAGCTCAATAAATTTGAATGAGTAAGGAAAAAAAATGGATCAAAGATCGCATACGTACCTTGTAACACCATGGGATAACAAACGGAAGAAAATGAACAGATATGATGCTTAGCCTTATTTCCGGCTCCAACCAATGGCTGACACCCCGACAAAGAAACCACAAGACAATCTTTTGAATTTCACTTTCAGCGTCCGAAAGAATTAGTTTTGGACAGCTATACTCCAAAACAACTGTCTGCTAGGGTGAAAATAAACACCAAAACGGAAATGGAAAAATAAAATGGAACGAAGATGAAAAGCCTTTTCAAGATGGACCAAGATAGATCCACAAACAGTGACAGAACTTCAATAATCTACGGTTTCGAACCTAGAAACCTTGAAAACAAAGATGACTCATCACAGGATGTAATCAAAGAAAGTGAAAGGGTTTTTTGTCTTTTACTTTCTTCGTTCCCTCGGATAAAAAAGCACGAATAATTCCAAATCGATCGAAATGAGCGCCCGGTATTAATCATAAATCCCTTGTAACTCGTTTCCAGGGCTTTACCATTGAAAATTTGGTAAAGGAAAGGAAGAACCCTGGGAACGAGGTTGAACTTTTTGGTTGCCTAATTTGATACCAGGCTTTTTAAATTCACTGAATACTTTCAGGGATCGTGCCGGCGATTTTGCTTGAATAGGGCTGAATTCGTAACCACCTTACAGTCCTATGAAAGGCACCCCACGGAAGTTTGGGTGTGATTATGCCTACTCTAAGCGAGAAAAACTCCGTCTGTCTCGCTCACTTGTTGAAAACAAAAAAGTTGTGTAATTTAAGGCAAATCGACCTAAGGGGACCAACAATCAGACGTTATCCCTGAACGCTCAGTATCAGCGTGCATATCACCGCATACTGTTCTCTACACACCTCCTACAGATCTAGAAGGCGAAGTCTTCTTTTAAAGTAAACAATGGTTTCTTTGGCTGGCGGTCATTCCCTTTACACATATTCACGACACAATGCTTGATTTAGAGGTGACGCTGTAAGGAGAAATTAGATGCTTGTCACCCTTTGTAATGCTTTAGAAAACAATTGAGCTCCGACTCGGTAAACAAAACTCTGTCGGAAGCCATATGTGAAATTCATGTACTTGTAAAGCAATTTAATCCGAGATTCTCTTCCCGTTTTTTCAGTGTACAGTTTTTTTTAATGATAAACCGAAATTGCCCCTTCCCCCTACCAACCATTCATTTTTCTTAATTTCATCACAGAAGACAAGGGACCCCTTTGAAGCCCTCCAAGGAAGCCTAGGAAAAACAATATGCAAGTACTTTATTTTCTGGTCAGCTGAGTTTGAGACATTCCTCCCCCCAGGTAATGCCACCTTCAAGCCTCCATACTGTCGTCAAATTATTAATTCCATTACCTGAAGCTATCGTGAGCGCCCCTTATATCACCTAGCTAAGATAGCAAGAGAGTGTCATGGTTTCCTTATAAGGTTTTTATATCAAGCTTTGAGTGGTTGCACTCTCTTTGTTTGTTATTCATTGTAAACCAGGGGGTATTTAGGCGTCAATTTATTTTGCCTTCTCCAAGCGCTCGAAACAATAAATTTTCCGCTTGACCCAGGCAATTGTGTTTTTAAAAAAATCCATTATCGTGACCGACTTTGTTCTTTTGTTATTGTCGCGTGAAAGAGTCCACTCTGATCTCTCGATAATTGCGACGGCAGTCGACTAACGTATTCACTACATGATGTTCTTGAAAAGTGAAGAGATTGATGAATATCATACGTGTTTTCAACAGCCAAGAGATACCAATGAAGCGGTATTGAGTGCAAAACCTTCGATGATTTAGGGAACTAAAATTTCGCAAGATGAAAATTTTAAAACTTGGAATGGGTTTAGACACGTCTCTCTTCAACAGAAATAAAATTGCATTAATTACGAGAGGTCAACAGAAATGGTTGGCAAAGGAAGTTAATTCTTTCAACAGTCACTGAAAAACAACATGAGGAATTTGTATGCTGACGTGAGAACTTAAGAGTTAGCAAATATCACATTCTTTCAACTACTGGAGTAAGAGGAGCAAGGGATTACTTCGAAGAGAATATACCTTTTGATCAAAGCTCGTCATGGAGGTATCACGTAAGTTTAGCAGTCAAGCCAACATAAATATGATTTTGGTAAAATCGGAAAACTTTCGTGCTATCACATGTGACAAGTCATCCAAATTTTAGCGGGAACTTAACGACTCCCGTATTAAAACAAACCCCGCACTTTACGAAATTGCGAAATACTGAATCAGTTTAGCAATCTTCCTTCCATCCGACGAGGTATTATGAAATTTTAAAGTCGTCTTTCGCGTGCTAATGTCAAAGGGCAAGGGATTTGTTGACAAAATGCCCAACTTATACAGAGTATTTTTTACAGCTCCCGTCTCATTTCACAAATACAGAAGGTCTAAATCCCCAGGGATATATAAATCGTGGGACGGTTGATCTATTTGCCGAGTGTTGAAACGTTTATTTCCTGTTGAAGATTATAATTGCCACGTGCAGTATTCATACGGAATATAACGAAACACTAAGAAGAGTAGTTGTTTAGTTCAGCCAGCTATATTACTCTACCTTGCGGTCGCAACACACTCCTAGCTCAAGTTTTCTTTTCGGTGACTTATGTCAAGAGAAAAATAAACAACAGTGCGTTTGTTTGTTTACGGGCTTTGCAAAATACACGAGGAATTTGGGCAAACGTGAAAAACATCATGCAAATCCCGTTATTTTAGCCGTGAAATTTGCATTAGACTATGTCGTCGAATGAAATCTTACACTAAAGAACCAATTATCTGAAGAAGTGACTTGATTTTATAGTGTTAATGAAAAGAGGCTCACGCCAATCTGGCGTAAACTCTTCAACATTCTTTCATGGCTACGAATAGTTGGACACGAGACAAAAGCTTGGTAAACCATTGTATACAACAACACAGTGGATTTTCTCACCTCTTATTCGTTTTTCGCACCTATTGAACGCACAATGTTGTCATTTTTCATTAAGTCATTCCAAAACAATACGTGTGCTTGCTTGAACACAGATCTGGTCAGTGTTATCTATGGCTCTGTTTATATTTGGAAAAGAAACTTCTAAGCATTACCCTTTTCACACTGTCCTAAGACACGCTTCGGCAGGAAGGCAATAACAAAAGAATCAAATGCCCCCGAGGTCAAGGATCATCTATAAGTAACAAACTTGTGTACTTTTCGATTTGGTAGCAAAATTCCACGTTCTTGCGAATTTGAAGTCTGTGACCAATCACCACATCGGAAGTGAATTGTTTCTGTTAGATGCTTATCATCTTCGATTCTCGTTGATAGTTTTCTTAGCCAATAGGAGGGCTTCAATAGAGTTAACGACCGCAGGGTATTTAAACCCGTCAAGACCGACTTATCAAACCATATGCGATAGCTTTAGGTAGAAGAAACTTTGAAGGCGGAAAAAGCATTCAAATTTTTATTTGCAGCGACATTCACGCTTCCTACCTGAGAAGAAAGACCTCAGCAAGTATGAATTCTGAATTTCTGTTGGAGGAGTTCATGGATGCCAGCGCGTTAGATTTTACCGAATTTGAAGAGCAGTATCCACTATGCGGATATTTACCGGACAACACAGATGGCCTGGTCGATCAACATATTGACTCGATGTCTTTATCATGCCCTGTTGACGTGTACCTGGATTATCTGTTCTCCAAAGGCATAGTAGACTCTATGGACGAGCACATTTACCTGGGAGCGGATTGCGACGAGGTAGGCGAGTTGAAAGAACATTTAATTTCCTCAGTGTTCAATTCTTACTACAAGCAAACCTTTGGACTTGAAATGGGTTCATGTGTTAAAGATAACCTCGTGTTGTCCGCCAGTTTATTACTCCCTGACGTCAATGATTCAAGCAGTGATTCTTCCTCTATGAGCGACTCAAGCAGTGATATTATTTCCGATAAGTTAGAGGGGCTCGCAACTCGATATCAATGTCCAGGGCCAGAAGGTCAAACAGCGCTGATGGGCCTCCCGCTTGCCAAACCAGGTGCAGCTAAACAGTCACCCGGACGAGCAGAACGCGCGAGACGTCGAGTATCCACGCGCGAATACAAATGCAACTTCCCCGGCTGCAGCAAAATGTACACAAAGAGCTCCCATCTTAAAGCGCACATACGTCGCCATACCGGAGAAAAACCGTTCGCTTGCACGTGGAAAGGGTGTAATTGGAGGTTCTCAAGATCGGATGAGCTGGCTCGCCATAAGAGATCCCACAGCGGGATAAAACCATTCATATGCGACTTATGCGACAAGAAGTTCTCCCGCTCGGATCACTTAGCTAAACACAGGAAAACTCACTATCGCACAAGGAAAAACTCTTCGTTTGTTGTAAAAATGTAAAAAGACCAAGTATTGACTTAAGATTGATCACAAGAGCGGTACTTTTGTCTTAAGAAGGTAAACATTTTATGTGAAGTTTGTCGTTCGAATCCAAACAAGGGCAGAGGTTGGCAAGAGCACGATCTTGTTATGATTGATATCCACTCTCGTTTATCTTGGTTCCTATGTAAATATGTTTTTCAAATTCACTTCCGCAGACCCCATTCACAATAATAAAATTTGTTTTTCATGATATATGTTTTAGCTTTATCCCAGCGTTTTCACCAAAGAGGATTTTATCGGCTCGACAACATACAGACGTGAAAAACAAACTAGTTTTTGTCATAGGTTATAAAAGAAACGGATGTATTTTTTCACTTTAAAGGATATTAAATTGCCTCAACAAGTTGTCAATATTGTAAACGACCCTGATACAAGCAATAAAAGTCCATGTTTTCTCTTTAAACTATAATTTATTGTTATTATGACGACCAACATTGCACAGACCACCCTAAATCTCAGTCGGAAAAATACACGGGTTTGCCTATCTTCTGTCAACGATTATCTTTTGTAAATAAACGGATGCAAGAAAAACATTCTTGCTGATATTTAACAAGTTTATTTCCGGTGCATGTATTTACCTTGCGTTACGTAATTTGGGTTAGTAAGAAGGCTTTTCACTTCCGAGACCTCGCGGTGATTACGAGTTATTAATTGTCCTTCGCTGAATTAAGGGTACACTCGAGCAATTTGCTTCTTAATCAAATAAAATTTTTCAAAAATATTGGGAATGAAGTTGGGATTTTTAAAAATAATCCCAAAAGTTCTCGGTACCGGTCGTTAATTTTTCTGCCAAATTTTGTTGCTTCAGGCCCCGAGCACCTTCAAATTAATTTCTACTTACCAAATGCCAATAAATATAAAATTGTACTAACACTTTTCTTAATGCGAGAGCAAACACAAAGTGAAAACCAAAAATATTCCTTTTCTAATCGGTTCAGATCATTTGATTACTTCGTAAATGAAAACTGATGTTTTTAGCATTATTTATTCCAGTAACAATCGATAATTTCTTCTGTCGGAAATTGAGGATCCCTGCCGTTTGCATGTCTAGGTCGCTCCGGTTACAAAAGCTTTTGTTCGGGTTCTTTCCCATCAAATTTTCAATGAAATATATCGCAATTGACCCGTGAACGACGAGGTCGATATCTTAAATATGCACACACAGATTTCAGGCAATTTCACACGAGGATCAAATCTTCGGTCTCCTACTCGCGTCAAATATAAGTTGTATCTTCTATTACTTGCAATCGAATTTGTACAACAGGGTACTTGAAACTTGTCTCACTAAAACATATGGTCCAATACTTTTGATCTAGAGCATGGGTTATATCAAGCGAGAGAGCTGCTTATACCTATTAGCTTCAATCAACCGGGCAAGATTAGCTTCAAGGATTCTTTGAATACAACAACTTATTTCTTGAAATAACGTTATACAACTGTGATAATTAACGATGGGACTGACCTTAGGCTTAGCATTGTTTGTTCAAGACTATGAAATTTTTGCGATTGAGAATTTCCAAGGATCTCACAGGTTCAGTCAGCCGGGACATGACGGATAACAAACAAATTTACAAGATGCAGGTACTAAACCCATCTCAAAACAGCTAGGTAAACAACTGATCTCTGTGGTGAATTTTTAATTTGCTTCATGTGCTCAGAGGGAGAGTTTACTCAAGGTCACCATGATGAAAGATACCGGTTACTAAAAAATAATCTGAATGAAATGATTCATATTCTGGCTTGTGCGATGCCACATGTTGCGAAAAGTCAAATTTCGAAGGGATCTGAACATAATAAAAACCCAAATCATATTTAGGGACATAGGGATGACCCCGTCGGAGCCTGATTAATTACAGGCTGCTTTTTCTGCTAAGTTTTCAATGGCAGTTCACATGTAAAATCTTTTTGTGTGGTATTTGTTGTTGCTTTTACTTCATGTGGGGGGGGGGGGG